CGCGGGTGCAGAGTCCCAAGACTTTGGGCCATGCTCGACTGCTTTCCCAGGCCACAAGCAGGGAGCTGAATGGAAAGTGGAGCTGCTGGGATGAGAATCGGCGCCCACATGGGATCTCGGCATGTGCAAGGCGAGGACTTTATCCACTAGGCTATGGCACCGAGCCTGGGGAAATATGCATTATTTAAAGATTATTTAAAGATTTATTTTGGAGCTGGCCAAATAAATATTGTGGCCAGTTTTCTATTTGTATTATGACCTAGTAGGCTAAGCTGCTGGTTAATATCCCTTCTAAGTTCTGTTCCCAGTGCCAACTGCTCTTTTTGAACCCATTCCCTGCTGATGCCCTGGGAAAGCAGAAGATGGTGCTTTGGCCATCTCCCAGCGCCAGCCATTTGGACAGTGAACCAGTGGATAGAAGACACTTCTGGTCTCTCCCTGTAGCTCTGCCTTTCTGTTTGTATGGGATGCTGGTGTGCACAAGGTGGCTTGGCATGCTGGAGCTCGATGCTGATGGCCCTAGCTTAGCAAAACATTTTGATTTAGGATAATTTTCTTCTAACAAGATGCAGTTGAAGTGTTTCATATTTTTAAAGTGACAAAAAATACAAATTCCCTATTTCTTTTTAAGGAAGCTAAATATGGTATTTGAAACATCAGTATGTTTCACGCGAATGCTGTGGGAACGTAAAGGGAAAATCTGGCACACCATGGAAGCAGCTGTCACAGCAGGAGCCACCGCAGCGCTTTATCTCCGGGCTCATCCTCTGCTGCTGGGGGATGACGTAACCCATGCTGCGTGGCCAGTGCGTTTTCTTTGCACTTCCGTTACTGAACATGTCTCACATCAGTGTTGTCAGCATTGCTTTTTTTCTTCACAGTTAAGCTACCCAGTTTTTTAAGATCTTTTTTTAAAGGCATTTTTATTTGAGAGGCAGATTCACAGAGAAAATGGAAACAAAGAGATCCACCGCCCTCTGGTTCACTCACAAAGTGGTCACAACAGCCGGAGCTGAGCCAATCCGAAGCCAGGAGCCAGGAGCTTCCTCCGGGTCTTCCATGCAGGTTCCAAGGCTTTCGGCTGTCCTTGTTTGCTTTCCCAGGCCACAGGCAGGGAGCTGGGTGGCAAGTGGAGCCGCCAGTGCTAGAACTGGCACACTCCAAATCAAATGGAGGATTAGGCTATTAAGCTTGTACACCAGCCCCCAAAGGTCACCTTTTAAAATCATTTGCTTGAACGGCACAGAGACAGCAAGAGCTGCCATCTGCTGGTTTCCTCCCCAAAAGCCTGCAACAGCCAGAGCTGGGCCAGGTCAAAGCCACGAATTAGGAACGTGGAGTCGGTTTTCCGCGGCAGTGGCTGGGGTGCAACTGATCGAGCCATCATGCTGTCTCGGGGTGCACATCAGTAGGAGCTGGGATTGTGGGTGCAGGCTGTACTTGAACCAGGCACTTCGATGTGGGTTGCAGGTGCTAAGCCAAACTCCTGCCTCAGGTTCACTGCCTCTTAAATTTAAACTTAGGATCGTTTGAAGTTACTCTGGCCAAGAAAAAAAAAATTACTTTCAGTTTTCTTTTTATGTTATAAACAAAAACATAGTTTCCTGTTTTCTCTCAAGGATGTCTTAGGGTAAGGTAACTCAGCTGCTGTGTTTATGTGTGCAGAGCATGTGGTGCTAGGTCTGCCTTCATAGTGCTTAAGTCTCTTGTCAAGATCTGGTCTGCAGTTGAGCTCCCTATGGGTTAGGTGTAGACATCTCACAGTCGTGATGCATCGGGAGGCGAGGGGATGTGGTGTGCTGGGTGTCTCCCCGAATGCTTCCACGTGCATCATGTTGAACCAGGTAGCGACTTGCCCATTTCACAAGCGAAGGAACTACACAGTGCCTTGTCTGTACTGTCAGTCTGCTTTCCACATTGGCTTCGTTTAATATGAATAGTGACTTTCCAGTGACCACTAGCGGGGAGAACGTGTTTTCCCTTTGCTTTAGGATATATTGCTGATATGTGTCAAACATGGAGGTTACAGAAGAAAATTATTTCTTTTAAAGATTTATTTATTATTGGAAAGTCAGATATATAGAGAGGAGGAGATACAGACAGAAAAATCATCCATCTGTTGATTATTCCTCAAGTGACCGCAATGGCCAGAGCTGAGCCGATTCAAAGCCAGGAGGAGCCAGGAGTCTCCCACTTGGGTGCAGGGTCCCAAGGCTTTGGGCCCGTCCTCTTTCCCAGGCCACAAGCAGGGAGCTGGATGGGAAGTGGAGCAGCTGGGACATGAGCCTGCACCCATGTGGGATCCCGGGTATGCAAGGCGAGAACTTCAGCTGCTAGGCCATTGTGCCTGACCTCAGAAAATATTTTAAACGGACTTCTTTGTTCAGATTATCTTTTTTTTCTTTATTTCTTTTTATTTTATTTTTATTCTTTTAATTTTTTTTCTTTATACCTTTTTCATTTATTTTTATTCTTTCGTTGTTGTTCAGATTATCTTTAGGTCGTACCTCTCTTAATAAGTAGCCTGCCACATGTGAGGTGTGCCGCAGCCGCATGTGACCAGGCACAGATCTGAATGAGTGTCAGCACTGCCGGCTCTTTGGCATCTGTGCGTGGCGCCCAGCACTCGCAGACCTAATGTTATAGACAGTAAGCATGCATCTTTCCCCAGGGCAAACCATGTGCCAGGCCACAAGACTGTCCCAATTTAATGGAAAGCTCTCAGCATTCTGTGATCACATCACACCGGAAGGGGATAAAAAAACAGAGTTACCTGGAAGTTAAACAATCCGGAAATCGACACTATACTTCTTTTTTTTTTTTTTTTTTAAAGATTTATTTTATTTTTATTGGAAAGGCAGATATACAGAGAGGAGAGACAGAGGAAGATCTTCCGTCCGATGATTCACTCCCCAAGTGAGCGCAACGGTCGATGCTATGCCGATCCGAAGCCAGGAACTTCCTCTGGGTCTCCTGCGCGGGTGCAGGGTCCCAAAGCTTTGGGCCGTCCTCAACCGCTTTCCCAGGCCACAGGCAGGGAGCTGGAAGGGAAGCGGGGCTGCCAGGATTAGAACCGGCGCCCATATGGGATCCCGGGTGTGCAAGGCGAGGACCTTAACCACTTGTGCCACCGTGCCGGGCCCAACACTATACTTCTAAATAACATTTGAATCAAAGAAGGATTTTATGGAAAAGTTGGAAATTTCAAATCAAGTGGTAATGGGAGCACAATATCTTAGGAGTCTTAAGCTGTGGCTGAGGCAGTATTTAGAATTGACAGCTGTATATGGTTATATTAAAAGTGGGGCCTGTGTTGTGGCTCAACAGGCTGATCCACCCTGTTGCATTAGCATCCCACATGGGCACCAGTTCAAGTCACAGGTGCTCCTCTTCCAATGCTGGGAAAGCAGCAGAGGGAGGCCTGCACCCGCATGGGAGGCCTGCACCCGCATGGGAGGCCTGTGGGGGAAGCCGCTGGCTTCCAATGAACGCAGCTGCGGACATAGCCGCCATTTGAGGAGTGAAACAGAAGATGGAAGATCTTTCTCTTTTCTCAGTAAATCTGTCTTTCTAACAAAAGTAAATCTTTTTTTAAAAAAATGAGAAAGCTGTTAGAATTGATGATCTAGGTTGTAGTATAAAAACAACAACGAAAAAGGTGAGAGGGCAAGTGAAACAAAAGTCCAAAAAATAAGAGCAGGGATGGAAGAAAGTCTGACAGACATGGAGAAATTTATCTCCAATATGATACTCCCTTTTTGGTTTCTTGTGTTAATTGTTAGTCTGTAAAGAGTTAACAGTACAATTAGGGGGAAAATTTGCTTTTAAAAAGTCTGAGTTGGGGACCTGGAAAGTAGAGAAGGATGGCTAAAACCCTTGGAACCCCCTGCCTGCGTAGGAGACCCAGAAGAAGCTCCTAGCTCCTGGCTTCGGTTCAGCTCAGCTCCAGATGTTACAGCCACTTGGGGAGTGAACCAGTGGATGGAAGATCTGCTTCTTCTCTCTGTAAATCTATCTTTCCAATAAAAATAAACGAATCCAGGGCCTGGCGTGATAGCATAGCAGTTAAGGTCTTTGCCTTGAATGCATCGGGATCCCATGTGGGCCCCGGTTCTAATCCCTGCGGCCCCACTTCCCATCCAGCTCCCTGCCTGTGGCCTGGGACAGCAGTTGAGGACGGCCCAAAGCCTTAGGACCCTGCACCCGTGTGGGAGACCCAGAGGAGGCTCCTGGCTTCGGATTGGCTCAGCTTTGGCTGTTGCAGCCCCTTGGGGAATGAACCATTGGATGGAAGATCTTCCTCTCTGTCTCTCCTGTATGTATATCCACCTTTCCAATAAAAATAAATAAATCTTTAAAAAAAGTAAATGAATCTTAAAAGTAAATGATGAGTTGGACCCAGTATTGTAGCCCAGCCAGCCAAGCTACCGCCTGCATCCCATGTTGGCTGCTTCTCTTCCAGTCCAGCTCCCTGCTAATGCACTTGAAAGGAAGCGTATGAAGGCCCAAGTTCTTGCATCCGTGCCACTGACATTGGAGGCCCAGGGTGGAGTCCAGGCTCCTTGCTTAAGCCTTATCCAGCCCTAGCTGTTGCAGCCATCGCAATAGTAAGCCAACAGGCGGAAGATGGAAGGGTCTCTCTTGCCAGCTCTCTCTCTTCCCTTCAGATAAATAAACCTTCTAAGAAAATTATAAGGAATCAGTTCATAGGAGAGGGTAGCTAGTTAAGTGAAATGATCAAAATTGTTTTTATAATGAAACCTCAGCTTCTTTGAATTTATATCTGCTCCGTCTGATGTACATGTTTTGAAAATTTAACTTGGTGGGGACGGAAAATCTGCAGAAAAGAATTTTGGACTTAGAAGCAGTGCGTGCCGCTCTTGGGGCAGCGTGCTGGCGGAGGAGCCTGCAGACAGAATCGGCTCTCAGAAACGTGCATGTTACTGTTGAACTGGGAAGAAAAGCAGACGTTTAAATAAAACATTGAATTTTCTTTTTAGATTTATTGACAAGAAGGAAAGATTAAACCGACTTAAGAGCAAGCAAGAAGAATTTCAAAAAGAGTGAGTATTTTGGTTTTGCTTTTGAATTTGTGGAGATGGTTTTGTTGTCCCTTCGTCTCAGGGCTGTACGTGACAGCAGATGGTAAACAGTTGCTGTGTGTGTGAGACGTTCTCCGAGTGGACCTGAGCTGCTGCCAAGCCCACGGCGGTTGATAAACATGAGTGACTTGAATCTTCGAAGCTCCCCTGCTTGAGTCTGTTAACTCAGCCATCTCTCTAACTCACTGTGCACATATTCTGAGGGTTCTGTCCAAGTGGTTTGGATAGTTCTGAAATGCTGCTGATTTCCAAGGATGATGTCACCCTCCCAGAGTCCGTCAGCTCCATTTACCGAGATTTTTTGCTGACATCATTTGTTTGGGGTAGTTGACCAGTTAGTTCTGTTCTTCTGCTACAGCACCAAGTGAGCTGCCATATTGTCCTTTTACAACAGGGCCTGTGTCCACTGCCCCGCCTTTATCAATAAGTAGGGCATGTTCTTGCAGGCAAGTCCTAGTACCTGGGCCAGGCATTCCCAAGCATCGCCAGATCCCCCACTCCTGGGGCTCACAAACTTCACACCCACCGAGTAGGCTGGCACTGGGACCGGGGCCAGGTAACCCAAGCCCCACTGGATCTCCTGTCCCTGGGCCTCACGAACCTGACACCCACCTCACAGGCAGGCCCCAGGACCCAGAACAGGCAGCCTGAGCCCTGTCGGATCCCTGCCCCGGGACTCACAAGCCCTACACCCACCTCCCCAGGCAAGCCCCAGAACCTGGGCTAGGTGACCCGAGCCCTACCAGATTCCCCAACTCCTGGGGCTCACAAACGGGCACCCACCTAAAAGGCAGGCCCTAGGATCTAGGCCAGGCGACCCAGGCCCCACCAGTTCCCCTGTCCCCGGGGCTCAGGAACCCAGCCCCAGCCACACAGGTGGACCTCAGCACTTGTGCCAAGCTACCTGAGCCCTGTCAGATCCCCCATCCCTGGGACTCAAGAACCCAGCCCCCCGCTGGCCTGATTCACCTCACCTTGCCTCAGCGTCCGCATCGTATTGCACAGCCTGGCCTATTCTGGTCTGCCCCCTGTTCCAGCTCGTGCTGGTGGGTGCTGCAGCTTAGCCCGGCCCAGCATGATTGCTGTCCCGGTTCTAATGTGAACTGGCTGCTGCTGTGGCCTGATATGGCTCTCCTGCCCCATGCCCTGGTTCTCAGATCTGCCACTGGGTGTTACGTGCTAGCCCCGACTTGTCTGTCGCCAGACCTGACCCACATGTATGCTGGTGGGTACTGTAACCTGGCATGATCTGGGCTGTTCCTTGCCTTGCTTCTTGCACCTACCTACAGGGACTGCGTCCAGTGAAGGAGTTTCCCAAGCTCCTCCATCGAGTCTCCGCCCAGCGGCAGTTCTTGCGCACATCAGAGGACTGTTGGCCCAGGTTGGCTTGTCCACTTCCTGCCCTGGCAAGAACAGTGGCCTTGCTCAACCTGTTACATCCATTCTGGTTCTTTTTGGTTATTGCAGCCCAGGGCCACCTGGTCCGCGCCCAGACACAGCATTTATGTAGTTCAGTGGAAGTTAAGGCCTAGCCTGGCCCGTTCTACACCCAGCCTGGCTCTCACAAGTACCAGTGGGGGCTGGAGTCTAGCCCAGTCTGACCCTGCACAGTCCCAGTGCACGCCCACACCGGTGCAGGCCGTAGCCATGTACAGCCACCCCTGCTGCCCTGCTGTCCTATTCTCACCAGTGGGAACCCCAACCCAGCTGGGGCTTCCCCTTGGCTCCCCAGCAAGGCCTGACCCCATCCGCAGTTGTTGGGCGAACCAGCAGGGATTGCAGTTCCACAGGAGTGAGCCCACATTTCCCGCACAGATGCTGCTGTCAGACCCACTTTTTTCACCCTTCTCCCTCCAAACTAATTTGCTAGCAGCCCCCTACTTACACATACGTCGTGGATTTGTCTGTGGACGTCCCTCAGCTGCAATTCCTAACCTGGGCATAAAAACCACAGGTCCCCTCTCGCTGCCACCTGTGAGATCCCATCATTCCCCTGTAAATCAAGGCCTTTCAACTCGTGAGGGTGTGCCACCTGGCGGCCGAGGGGCTTTACCCAGCAACCTGGCGCGTAGGCCTTCAGGAGGAAGCCACGCGGCCCAGCTATAGGCACTCATGAAAGTCAAAAAAATTTAACTTCCAGGATGGGGTGGTCCTGGAAGCCCACTTACTGTCCTGCCAGACCCGCCGCCGCCGACCCAGGGAGCCAGCGTGCTCAGCTGTGCATAGCTGCCGGTTAGAAAAGCCTCCAAGGGCCCAGCACTGTAGCCTAGCAGCTAAAGTCCTCACCTTGCACGAACCAGGAGCCCATATTATAGGCACCAGTTCTAATCCCAACAGCTCTGTTTCCTGTCCAGCTCCCTGCTTGTGGCCTGGGACAGCAGTCGAGGATGGCCCAAAGCCTTGGGACACTGCATGCACGTGGGAGACCCAAAAGAGGCTCTGCGATCCTGGCTTCAGATTGGCTCAGCACTTGGGGAGTGAACCATCGGGTGGAAGATCTTCCTCTCTGTCTCTCCTCCTCTCTGTGTATCTGCCTTTCCAATAAAAATAAATAAATAAATAAATCTTTAAAAAGAGAAAAAACAAAAGCCTCCAAGCAGGGCTTCCTGAAGGCCCACCTTAAGAACCCCTCCCCCAAAGCAGCCACACAGCCTGGCTGTGAGAACTTGTTAAAGAGTTTAATTTTCAGGACTGGTGCAAAGGCGTAGCAGGCTAAGCCTCCACTCTGGCACTCACCCGCATGGGCGCTGCTCCACTTCTAATCCAGCTTCCTGCTAATGGACTGCGAAGGCAGTGGAGGATGCCCAGCCCTGGAAGAAGCTCTGGCTTCAGACCAACGCCAGTCACTTGGGGAGTGGACCTACAAATGGAGAGGCTCTCTCTGTCTTCCTCTCTCCCTTCCTCCCTCCCTCTCCCCATAACTCGTGCATTTCAAGTACAGTGTTTACAGATTGTTTTTAAACAATGTTAATTTTCTGTCTCCTTTTCCAGAGTGTCCAAAGCTATGGAAGGAAAATGGGCTGCAGATCAGTTGGTAAGTTAGCGGTGTCTGCAGGATGCGAAACATCATTGTGAATTCAGATTTGTTTTTTATCTGTTGAATTCCATTTGTAGTGTGGGCTTCTCGGAGATTTCATCGGGCTGCCAGAAACAGGGCTGATGCTTATGAACCCTTCCTGAAGGAGGATTAGGGAGTCTTGCTATTAATACAGAAGTAGTGTTTGGTCAGCAGTGCCTTTTCCCTCTGCACAATTGCTCAGGGGAAGGCTGAGTGGGGCTGGCTGTCCAGCTCGCAGCTGAGGGCCACGAAGCTGATGACAGGGAAGCTAATGTGCAAGCGATCTAGTCCAAATGGTTGTCAATCACCTCGATTTTAGTGAGATTAAAAATTATAGCACTCTGGGCCCGGCGCGGTGGTGCAGTGGTTAAGGTCCTCACCTTGCACGCCCAGGATCCCATATGGGTGCCGGTTCTATTCCGGCAGCCCCGCTTCCCTTCCAGCTCCCTGCCTGGGGCCCGGGAAAGCAGTTGAGGACAGCCCAAAGCTTTGGGACCCTGCACCCGCGTAGGAGACCTAGAGGAAGTTTCTGGCTTCGGACCAACATAGCATCGACCGTTGTGCTCACTTGGGGAGTGAATCATCGGACGGAAGATCTTCCTCTCTGTCTCTCCTCTCTGTATATCTGCCTTTCCAATAAAAAAATAAAATAAATCTTTTAAAAAAAAATTATAGCACTCGGTAATTGATAGAGAATGGTTCATCTATCTGTACTGATACAGGAAGATGGGCCAGGATGCCTGTTGGACAGAACAAAGTGGGAAATGAGCAAAGCGGTGGGGGGTGGGGCTGAAGTTTGCTCTTCCTAACATGCATTTTAAATGTAAAGATGCTCTAACATTTTTGAAAATATAAATGTCAAATTTTAAGAAATGACCCAAGGAATGAGGCTGAGTTCGAGACTCAGAGTTGTGCAGTACTGAGTTTTTCTTACAGCAAGCATCGGTCATGATTTTGTATTGCGTGTGAGTGTTTGGACAGAAGTGTTTGTGCTGTGGATCTCGTACATTGTCTTCTTTTGTTTTAAGGGTTATTTATTTTTTTATTGCAAAGTCAGATATACAGAGGAGGAGAGACAGAGAGAGAGAGAGGAAGATCTTCCATCGGATGATTCACTCCCCAAATGACTGCAACAAGCAAAGCTGAGCCAATCCAAAGCCAGAAGCCAGAAACTTCCTCTAGGTCTCCCACACGGGTGCAGGAACCCAAGGCTTTGGGCCGTCCTCAACTGCTTTCCCAGGCCACAAGCAGGGAGCTGGATGGGAAGTGGAGCTGCCGGGATTAGAACCGGCATCCACATGGGATCCTGGCGTGTTCAAGGCAAGGACTTTAGCTGCTAGGCCACCACACTGGGCTCTAAGGGAGATTTTCCTAAGTCTTTTGTAGTGCTAGATTTCTGGTTCCTGAGCCCAGGAGTCGCTGTGCAGCTGTTCCCAGTGTCTCTGGCAGTTTGGCCCACTGTAACATCCCTGTAATCAATCCAGCAGTGTAGACCAACGTGATACCGCAACAGTTTGAACATTGCTTCAAGGTTTTAACACCCACATCTAAGGAGGCATTAGTTTTAAATTTTAACTAAATAGATGCCGTTTTTACCAGTCCTTTGTTCATTTCATAGGTAGCAGTACCTAAATCCTGCCAATGTGAAGAGGCGATTTTGTTTCATGTAATCTTGATGCTTTTTACAAATTCCTTAGTACCTAAATTTTAAAAAGACTTGTGTTTTTTCTGCAGTTTGTTACATTGAATGAGGTGTGATATTCGTAGGCTCAACAGAAACCAGTCAGAGTAGTGCTGTACATCAGTGGAACTTTCTGAGCTAGTGCAGGTGTTCTGTGTCTACCCTGCCCAGTGTGGTGGCATGGGCTCACCACTTGATATGTGGGTAGTGTAACGAATGGAGTAATTTTATGTGATTCCTAATTGAGTCTTAAATTTTACGTATTTGGAAAGCAGATCAGAGAGCTCCTACCCACTGCTTCACTGCCCCAGGTACCTGCCGTGCACAGGCTAAGGCAGCGGGAGCCTGGAACTGGGAATTTGGTCCAGGTCTCCCACCAGGGTGACAGGGACCCGTCAGGGACCAGGTTGACAGAGCCATCACCTGCTGTCTCGCAGGGTCTGTATTAGCTGCAGCTGGAAGGGCAGCTTGCATTGAATTCAGGGCCTTTAGTGTTGGGTGTGGGTGTCACCCATTAGGTGAGGCTCAGTCACTAGCCTGAATGCCCAGTGCTCATCCCTCAACAGAATATCTTTTAAAGGTTTATTTTATTTTTTTAGGAAAGTCAGATTTTGATTAACTACCCAAGCAGCCGCAGTGGCTGCAGCTGAGCTGATCTGAAGGTAGGAGCCCGGAGCCTCCTCCGTGTCTCCCACACAGACACAGTGTCCCAAGGCTTTGGGCCATCCTCTATTGCTTTTCCAGGCCACAGGCAGGTAGCTGGATGAGAAATGGGGCCACTGGGATTAGAACTGGCACCCATATGGGATTCCTGTGCGTACTAGGTGAGGACTTTAGCTGCTAGACCACCACGCCAGACCCCTTCATTGTACTTTCTGATTTAGACCTAGGAATAAATAGTGGTCTTGCAGTCATCAGCATTGGTGATCAGTATCTGTGATATCTGTTGCATACTTTTACAGAGATGGAAAATAATGTCATGCAAGATGCGGATTGAACAGCTGAAACAAACCATATGTAAAGGAAACGAGGAAATGAAGAAAAGTAAGTGGATTGTCCCCTTCCCTTCAGCGGTGTGCGAGGCTCTTGTGGCATTTCATGGGCTGAATCAGCGAGTCCTGCTCAGGCCGTAAAAAGACAACGAGGTGGTTTGGACTGCCCCCATCAAGGCACCTGCCAGCAAAACTGAAAGCTCTGACAGTGCATAGAGCAGGACGGTTTTTAAGTTGATCATTTTGTGTGACCCACAAATGATGTTATAAATATGCAAGTGGCAGAGTCTGAGCTTTCAGATTTTGCCCAAAGTGGGTAATATTGTCCTACAGAAGGAGACACATGGAGATGGGTGTTACATTCACCGACCACCAGGGAAAGAATAACTCAGCTGAATATACAGAAAGGATCTAGATGGCCTTCGTTTCAGGGAGCCACGGTCACGGGCTTCCCTTCCCCGTGCAGCAGGCAGATGTGAAATTGAAGTCTGCAGAGGACTTTTGTTCTTCATGGTTAATTGGGGTGGTTGTCAGAATTTAAAGACATTGGAAATCCTGTGACCCTAGAACCTGTGTTAAAATGAGAATGAGTCACCTTGTCCGTCCGGACTTCCTCTCCCGTCTCCTCATTACTTTCAGAAGCAAGTGCTTTATGGAGGTCTGCGTGGTTTAGAAGCGTCCTTTGAACAGCTTTGTTCTCATAAAGTGCTCACGGGGTGTTCCCGGGATGAGTAGGCCCGGAAGAGGGCAGCACAGGGAGGTGGGGTCGAGGCTCAGCAGTATTTCAGGAACTCGTTACCTAACAGTGGCTCACCACCTTCGCCCATCCTCCCGTGCCGATCGGCTCAGGGTTTACCAGCAGGCATGAGCCGCCGAAGTCACCAGGTCCACAGTTCTCAGATGGTCTGAGAAAAGCATGGTTGAAGCTTTTGTTTTGTTCTTTTGAGAAGTTTCCTAACCCCTAAAAGCAAAACCTTATACCGCAGCATGTAGAGGCATAGATTCAGTGCAGTGCCACTGCAACAGCGGTTTCCCTCCCCAGCAAACATCCAAGTAACCTGGCGATGGCACTGGGGTGAAGGGCTTCCATGAGGGCACCGGGGGATGCTGGCCGTTGGGCTGCTTGTGGTTAGGTGAGAACCACTGCGTGCTGACTGGTCTGTTAAGTCAAAAGTCAAGCAAGTGATTTGAACCATGCTGGAACGAGGTAAAGGTTTGGGAGCTGACTAGTCCTGAGGCTTTGGGGATGGAAATAAGGGTCTAGTGTAAAGAATGGTCAGGACAGTTAGTGGAGTTGGCTGTCAAGGCAGTGGACAGGTCACCAATAATCATGAAAATAAAGAAACTAAAAAATTTCTTGCAGAAATTCTGAATGTGGTTTTGAACGTGAGTATATATGTGACTCCTGTCTGTCACTGCTGTTACTGAAGTTTGAGCACAGCCCAGCTGCCTGTGCAGGTCTCAGGGTCCGGACCCCTTGGTGGCTTCCCGGAGAGGCCCTCCCTCAGTGTGAGGGGAGGAGGGCACCGCCAGGCCCGCTCGGGCTGGGCGCCTGTGCTGTGGAGGACTCGCAGATGGCAGCCCCTCCCTGCTGCTCCCTGCTTCCGCTGTGACTTTCAGAGCTCCTAGGCCACTGCTGCGGCTCATCCTTTGCTGTGAGATTGTCCCCAGATCCCCTGCTAATCCAGGCCACGCTGAAGAGGCTAAGTAGTAAGTCATCGGGTCGTAAATGAGATCTCTTTTCTCCTAACCCGAGTGCTCTTGGTGCGCCCTGCTGGAAATGTCAGGTGCATCCTAGGCTGAAGTTCAGCCTCAGCAGGTGTGAACTCTTCTGAACTGCGACGGTTGTGTCATGGCAGTAGTGGCTGCCTGTGCCCTCCACGAGGCCTGCTTGAGCCACACTCTCCATGTTTCCTGAGTGGGTTTTATGCAGATTTTGCTTTCGGTTCAAAGCTCTTGACACCTGAGATGTGACGCGGCATTCTGTGGTGCCCAGGGACTGTTTGCTGAAGTAACTGTTGGCTGTGACTTGTCTTAGATTCTGAAGGCCTTCTGAAAACCAAGGAAAAGAATCAGAAGCTTTACAGTCGCGCCCAGCGGCACCAGGAGAAGAAGGAGAAGATCCAGAGGCACAACCGCAAGCTCGGCGACCTGGTGGAGAAGAAGGCCGCCGACCTCCGCAGCCACCACGAGCGCCTGGCCCGTCTGCGGCGGGAGCACATCCTGGAGCTCACGTCCGTCATCTTCCCTATGGAGGAAGTCAAGACCGCGGTGAGGTATGCTGAGCGAGCATCACAACTCCAGGGGTAGATCGAGTGGCAAACAGTATCCTTCAAGGATGCCAGCACCTCTTTTACTGGACCTCAAGGTGGGGTCATTAGAGTTCCTGGAAATGAAACTAGCGTGTTCTCTGCTTGAGCAAACGAGAACGCGGCGAGAGCTGGGGAGGCAGCCAGGCGAGGGGTGGGCCTTGGCCTGTGTCCTGTCACCAGGCTGCCAGGTGTCCTGCTGACTCACACTCCAGGTGAGGAGCCACCTGATGGCTGGTGTCGGCCACAGTCCCAGCCAGGCTGTTTGTTACTTGTGTAATGTGTGACGCACACACTTGAGCCCAAGTCATATGTCCTTGTCGATTGAAAAGGGATTGGGAAATGACTAATTCACAGAGACATCGGTGTGAGCCAACAAAAGCACCTGCGTCACTTTGGAGGCAGCCGTGTGTGGGGGCTGCGCGCTGACTCAGCCTCGTCCTGGCAGCTCGTTACCTGTGCCGGCTACTTCTGAGCATGCATTTTGTGACGTCAGAGCTAGCAGATGGCCTGTGCAGAGCATCAGGAGGCGGCGGGTTGGACAAGAGTGTCCCCCACCTGGCTCTTCGTAGTTCCAGGGACTTGGCCAGTCCATCTCAGAATTCTTCTGGAGATGCGCATCGCCGCAGCCACTTTTCCTTTGTTCCCGGGCTAACTACCATGCTCGCCTGAATGTGTGTGTGTGTGTGTGTGTGTTGGAAGATTTAGCTCTCTTGTCTATTCCTCCCTATAACTCTTCCTTTCAAATAAATAATTATTTATATTTTATATCGAAAAAAGATACATACTCAAGTCTTGTAAAAATTCATGGAAATCTATATTATCAAAAAAGTGCATGAACTACAGTGTTTTGCAGCAAAGTAAACTTTTAATTCTGTTTTTATTTTTGTCACGCACGTATCTGAACCCACAGTCATGTGCTTTATGATGGTACAGTCAGCTGCGTGCCAAGTACATACTGACAGTCCCCTGAGGTCACCTTGTCTGGTGACGTCATAGTGGTGTTGGTGGTATGCTAAGGCGGCCTGCCGCTAAGCGATGTGTGTGTGTGTGGTGTGTGTGCGGTGTGTGTGCGGTGTGGTGTGTGTGCAGTGTGGTGTGCGGTGTGTGTGTGTGGTGTCTGCGGGGTGTGTGTGTGGTGTGTGTATGCAGTGTGGTGTGCGGTGTGTGTGTGTGTGTGTGTGGTGTGGTATGTGTGTGTGTGGTGTGGTGTGTGTATGTGGTGTGTGTGTGTGGTGGGGGAGTGGGCGTGCATGCATGCAGAAATGATTTGCCTCTGGGTGCTGTTCTGGAACTATCTTATTAGTGTACATTATGGATAGTGCAGGCAATATTTTTAGGTTGTTAGTTTCAAAGTTTTTGTTCTAATGTTTCTCATCCATTGCATTTCTTTGGACTTGCTTGTGGAGGAGGGGGTAGTCCTAGGCCCAGCTGGGCCCTACAACATTTGCATGACTGGCTCAGGCCAGGCTCAGGAAAACCTCTGCTGTCTTGACACACTTCAAAGCAGAGACTCCCAAGTGTGGCAGTAACCATCACTTAACACCTTGCACTTGGAATTGAAAAAAATATGAGTAATGTTTAAGAATGTCCATGCCGAAGCGTGAAAATTACTAATTTTGATCAACAGCTTGACTCCTGAATGTAGGTCTTTATTGTGTGTTTGGCTCCAGGAGTGGCCGGTCCCCAGCTCTGCTCGGCTCGCTGCTTTGGTCATGGGAGGCTACTTGATACTTAGTCTCTTTTGAGTTTACAAAATGTAAAAATAGCGTCACTCTTTTTACACATTTTCTGGCCCTGAAAGAGAGACGCTTTTCTTAACAGTATAGTATTAGGCTTAGTATTTTTTTTTTTTTTAATGAACTAGTTTCTGTTTTCTCAGTTTCAATTTCTAATACAAATAGAAAAATGATAATTAATCCAGATTAACAAGTTGGGGGCACCCTCAGGATTTGTTGGAGCATGTGGAAGGGTGTTAAGGCCAAACCGTCCGAGAGCCTAATGTGTGGGGCTCCCGCTCGGGCATAGGGCCACCCTCTCTCTCCTGCCTGGCCTCCTGTGCTGCAGCTGTTTGAGTCGGTTCAATCTTCATTTCTGGTAGCAGCTACTTAGGTCTGCCAGGTCACTTCAGAATACATGTGGAAAATGGGAAAATAAGGTTTTTTGGTACAGAATATTTTGAAAGCCATGCAGTTTTTTCTTGATGCATTTTCATGAACCTGTGGGAGACCCCCCTCCCCAACACCTGTGCCCATCACCTGGCATCGCCTGGCAGATGCGTCTCCTGTTCTTAGAAGCTGCTCGCTCTCTGGTCTTCTGCTTTCTCAGAGATCCCGCGGACGTGTCCTCCGAGAGCGACAGCGCCATGACCTCCAGCACTGTGAGCAAGCTGGCCGAAGCCCGGAGGACCACCTACCTGTCGGGCCGCTGGGTCTGCGATGACCACAACGGGGACACCAGCATTAGCATCACGGGGCCGTGGATCGGCCTCCCCAATAACGGCGACTACTCTGCTTACTACAATTGGGTGGAAGAGAAAAAGACAACGCAGGGGCCTGGTAAGACTGCAGTCTTTGAAATTACATCTAGTATGTATATGCTGAGGGAAGCTTAGATAGCCAGTGTAGCTTTTTACTGTGAACAGTTGAGTGGCAGGTGGTACGGTCACAGCACTGTAGCCATCACCTGTGTAGCTCCAGAAACAATCATCTCCCCGAAGAGAAGCTCCCGGGCTTAAAAATGTCACAGTCCCCAGCGCCAGGTGACCTGGCAGGCTTTCTGTCTGTAGCCTAGTCTGTCCCGAATGCCTGTCACGGGATGTGGCCTCTTGCTTCTGACGTTTGCTTAGCGCGCCATTCCACAGTCTGTCCATGTTGCAGAATGGGTTCCTTTTGTGTCTGAGTAACATCCCATCGTCTTTTCACTCATTCACTTGAAGGCTGAAGACATCTTTGTAATAGTTCAGCCTTGAGGGTGAAAACCACTTTGACTTCTATGAAAAGAGCTCGCTGTTGAAAGAAGTGCTGTTAGTTTGTGTCCTACTTGGTGTCTCACCTTGCAGCCTCTGTCATCGCAGTCCTCGGCGTGGCATACTGACTGGGAGGGGTTGTTCCTTTGGCGTTCAGCTGATGCTTAACACGTGCCTTGCATCACGTGCAGAACTGGCCACTGGTGACGCAGCGGTGACCAGGATGGGTGTGGTTGTTTGTCCTCTGGGAGAGAGGCCAGGAAAACAGTGCTTGATGCAGGGTGTCAGGCAGTGAGGCTAGAGGAGCCCTCCGGGGGAGGTAGTGCCAAGCCAGGTCACGTCACTCTGACGACACAGCATCAACTCCAGTGGCCCAGACTTGAGCTCCTGCTGGCTCATCTAATCCAGTCAGCACGTGTTACCTCCCAGCCAGCCAGGACACGTCAGCGCTCGACTTTTGTACCAGTGCTGCTCCCAGTAAGTCAGGAGGAGAATCTGCCTGACGGTGATGTCATGTTAGATATGCAGTTGGTGTAAGCTTGGTTCATGAATGTTTGGGGTGACATTAAAGGGATGTGTGTGCTGTTTGATCCTCAGACATGGAGCACAGCACCCCCGCTTACACCATCAGTGCAGCGTTGTGCTATGCCGCCCAGCTGGTCAATATCCTGTCCCACATCCTGGACGTGAACCTTCCTAAGAAACTGTGCAACAGGCAAGTCGGTGGGCCAGGCCAGAAGCGCCACGGGGATGGGGTGGGAACAGTCTGGCTGACATACTAAGGGGGGTCTCCCAGATGTAACCGAGGGCTCCCCCAGATGTTGATTCATGATCTTAGAGTTACACATGGAGTCTATGAGAACACCACATTTTCCCCCATTTGAAAGCAGTAAGACAAAGGGAAAACCAGTAATTCCATACTCATCGATACCTGCCCCAGATCCCACTGAGCCCTGCCCCCCACCCTTGGTCTTTGTGGGCCAAGTTCTACCGAGGAATCCTCGGTGTGAGTGCCACATGGTGGTGGTGAGCCTGTTCCCTGAGAGGGAGGGTCTGTCAGACAGGCTGGGAAGCATGCCCTTCAAAGGGAACCACGAAATACAGAATTGCCTTAAAAAAAAAAAACTGACTTTACCAATTTTCTGCTTATTCTACAGTGAATTTTGTGGAGAAAATCTCACCAAACAGAAATTTAATCGAGCAGTGAAGAAACTGAATACAAATATCCTTTATCTTTGTTTTTCTCAGGTACGGAAAGTGTGCCGGGAGCGTGTGTGTCACTGGGGCCGTGGTGGACAACAGTCACTGATTGTTTGTTGTTTTCCAGCATGTCAATCTGGATCAGTTACAGCCACTACACACCCTCAGGAACCTCATGTGCCTGGTCAGTTCCAGCTCTGAACACCTGGGCAGGTAAGGGCCACTCACAGCCTTCTCTGGGACGGCTCTTCCATCCTGTGACCAGTGATCGGCTAGTATGTCGAGACACTGCTGCACACTGGCCATCCCCTTCCTGCTTTCAGTCCTGCCCTTACTGCCATGCTAAAAGGAGGACGGAAAGCAGTGGTGTGGTCTGCTAACTCAGGGCCAGGGACTCTGCAGGGAGCGCAGCAGGGCCAGGCTCCCGGTACACACACTGGCTGACTCCAGAGAAGCATCCTTTCAGGGGGGACCCAGTGCACGCTACAGCATCCTGTCCCCAGCTGAAAGAGGAAACTTAGGTCAGCCTGAACAGATGCCAGGAGAGAGAACTGAACGAAATGCAGCTCCCACTAAGGAAAAATTATATACAGCCAGTTAAAAATCCGGTATTAATACAGCCTGTGGGAGTGGTCCTTCATGACATCAGCACTGGAGGGACGCAGCCCTCGTGGTCAGGGGGAAGCCACGAGGCTGCTGTCGGGCTGACACAAGCCAAAGCAAGGGATACTGGGATTGGGAAGACTCAGTGGACATCACTGAACGTGGTTGTCCAAGTGAATCGCCAAGCAGAAAGGACTGCTAGGAGTGCTAGTTCCCTGCGCTGGTGTCAGCAAGCAGTTCCTGTTATGTGCTAACAGCCAGTTAGAAAATGCAGTGAGGAAAAAGACCCCATGTTGCCACAGCAATAATCCTTATAAAAGACAGGCAGTGCTAGGCCATGCTCCTGTGGGAGGCCCTGGCTGAGAGGGGTGGGAAGGAAAGGCCTGAGATAGAGTGGTTTTCTGGGGTGCTGAGCCTTCCTGTTAGAGATCCCCTGAAAGGAAAGCTCACATCCCAACAGGTGCTTCTCCACTGCAGCTGGAGGCGCAGTGTGCGGGGAGTGGAGTGCCAATTGGGATGAGGGGTACTAAAGGAAGTAGAGTTCAAAACAAGTCCTGGGCCAAGTGGGAATAGAACAAACAAAAAACAACTACAATCAGAAGCAGGGCAATGTTGTTGAATCCTAGGGTGGAGAGGCACTTCCCAAGCAAGCCAGGAAAACCACGCAGGAAAGTAGTTCATAGATTTTATTGCTCAGAAACTCTGATGACTCTGGTCAAGGATAACATTACCAGCCTGGACGACAGTCGATAGGTCTTTGTAACCTGCAAGACAGACACTGGATTAAAGTCTAACCTGACTGACAAAATAGCAAGGACTAATGCCGCTGGCTGGGAGGTTCTGGAGGGAAACACTGGTGGAAGATGGATCTGGGGGCAGTTTCTGTAGGCTCTCCATGTGCAGCTCCTTCAGTTAGAGGCCTCTGCCCAGCAGAAGTGCTTATATGTTTGAGGTCAGTATTCATGGAACCATGTGGGACGTAATAGTGAACAAACCCCAGTCATCCGCCCTTGGTGTCACCTGTTTCCTGTCTCTGCTCTGTGTGAATGTGCATGTGTGCACAGGTTGTCTTCCCTAACCCTGAGGGTAAGGTACGTTTGTTGTGGCTCTTGATCCCCTGAATACTTGAATGTGTATCTCCTACAAATAGGCGCGTTTTCTGATTGACATCACAGGATTTAATGTCAGTCCATGAATCTGTCCGTGTGACCATTTTGTCAGTGCTAGTAATGTCCTCCATATTATCTCTCTCCAGTGTGGGATCCGGTGTAGGATCAGGTGCTACGCTTAGCTGCTCTGACTCCATAACCACCTTTCAGTGTGGACCACTTCTACCATTAGTTGGAGTTGCAGAGAGGGAATGACAGAGAGACCCTGTATCCCCTGGCTCACTTCCTGCGATGCAGGGCTGGGCCAGACCAAACCCAGGAGAATGTTCCAGGTCTCTCACGTGATTGCTGGGGCCCAAGCACTTGGGCCATCTTCTGCTGGTTTTTCTGGACCATTGGCAGGATGGGCAGTAGAGCAGCCAGGCACAGCCAGCAGCAGCTTTGTTCACTGTGCACAACGCCAATCCCTCTTCCTCATTCCAGAGAAACTTTCCTTTGGGGGAAAGCTGCAGGCTGTGGGTTCTAGTCTTGCACACTGTCCGAGGAGGAGCAGCGCCTGTCCCTGTCTGTCCTTCCTCGACGTGGTGTCATCCACAGATGAACTGAGGTTTTTGGGTCTTTGCCACATCAGGTGCGGGTCCTTCGTTCGCCCTCCTGGCCCCTCCTCTGCTGTCTTTGGGGGAGACTCCCTGTGTGGGGCACCTGTGGATGATGCTCGCCGGCGCAGCTGGACTCCACACTGTGCGGCATCCCAGGGTGTTTTGAAATAAGGTCTTCCAAAAGGCAGCACATCCTGTTGTTGCCTCAGCTGATGAGAAAATGAGAATGCCAGCTTTTTTTTAAATTTTGGAGGAAAATGTCAATTATTTAGCCAAACTATAACTTAGAGAAGCAATTTTATAGTCTTTAGCCTCCACAGACTTTAAAGGAGGATCGTGTTCTGCTAGTTCATTCTATGTCTGTCTCTCCATTCGAGGGGTGGGGCCCACGGTGTCCACTGGCATGGCCCAAATGCCTCGGCCCAGGCTGACCCCTCCTGTGGCTTTTCAGGAATAAGACTGGGAACTACAGCTGCTCCACACCAGCCCCACTGGGGTTCTTCCCAGGGGATCCTTGCATGTCTTTGGGACTCAGCCGAGCACCTGCTCCATGCCAGCTAGTGTCGGCCCTGTGGTGTCCCAGCAGGGAGCTGGAGTCCAGGGGCTCTTGGCAGGGGACTGGGACGCTGCCTGCAGGAGGTCCTGGGTCCCTCCTGCCTGTTTATTGGGAAAACCCAAAAAGAACATCTGTGGGCAGGGGCAGTGCCAGGCTGGGGAGGAGCCCAAGGCGTGGGGAAACAGAAGCTGAAAGCTGAACCTGCAGAGCCAGCACGGTAGCAGAGCTGAACAGATGGCCCCAGAGTCGGTGTAGACAAGGAAAGGCCCAGCCAGGAGCTGCCGGGGGGTAGGGGCCCCTCTGGGGGATGGGAGGCTGGAGTCCCCACTGGCCACCATGCTGCAGGCTGGCTTACTCAGGTGTTAGAAGGCGAGGCCGAGAGGCTAGGGCAGCTGATGGACGGGACCCAGAGCTGGCTCTGGGTTAGACACAGAGAACGGCGTAGAGGACTGCCATGGGAGATAAGCCACGTGAGGAAAGGGACAAGGGACAGCAGGATCAGGAGCAGGCTGGGCCGAGAAGGTTCTCACTGCCATCACCCCATGCATAGTGCCTTCTCTGGCAGGGCTTAGGGGTGGGAGGAGGGAGAGTGGCTGAGGCTTGTCTTCCAATGGGGACCAAGAGGGGACACACCAGGAGCCAGGGACTTGGTGGCTCGGTTACTGTGTCTGTTACTGTTCATTCCATCTTGAGGCCCAGGGCACTGTTGGGGCTGCAGCAGCAAAATGTCCTGCCAGAGTTGGGGGGCACTGAAAAGCCTTGGGGAACAGTCCTGCAAAGGCGGGGTGCTGGGTGGGCCCACTGGGGAGCCTGCAGAGGACCGCCCATCCTTGGCAGGCAGGTTAGCTGCAGGGTACCTTGGGAAAGTCGGGTTTTTCTGCAGGTGAGTGTTCTGAAGGGCTGGGTCTCCGCGACCTGTTTCTGGGTACACAGCTGCAGCTGCAGGCTCCCCTCTCTCCAGTCCCAGGAGGTTCATGAGCCAGGGCTTCTGGAAGGCAGTGAACATTTGGGTGTACCTCCACTACTGCTGTACGTCATTTCTGTCAGTCTCACTGAAACATTGTGTGTTTACTCCACACATGCGGCGGCCACTCGCTTGCGTGGACCGTGGGCAGGGAATGGGTTTCCCCACGCAGGCCACACACAGTGGGCAGCCTGGAGGGACGGCGGTATCTCCGGGGAGAGCCGCCCACTTCCAGCCCAATGGTAGCTCGGCCCTGGGAGGCACTTGGGGGTCAGCCTAAGGGGCAGTTCGCTGTGTCCGTGCAGGTCAGGACCCTTTGAAGTGCGAGCCGACCTCGAAGAGTCCATGGAATTCGTGGACCCTGGTGTCGCTGGAGAGTCCGAGGAGAGCGGAGATGAACGTGTAAGTGATGAAGAGACAGACCTGGGCACAGACTGGGAGAACCTGCCCAGTCCCCGGTTTTGCGACATCCCCTCCCAGCCTGTGGAGGTGTCCCAGAGCCAGAGCACCCAGGCGTCCCCACCCATTGCCAGCAGCAGTGCGGGCGGCATGATCTCCTCGGCTGCTGCCTCGGTGACCTCCTGGTTCAAGGCTTACACCGGCCACCGCTAGTGTGTGTGCACCTGCCGCGGCAGCTAGCCAGCTCCCAGCGTCGGCTCCCGGGCTCGCAGTGCCCCTGAGATGCTAAGTCGGCGCCTGCAACAGCAAGAGGTGGAACTGCTATTAGTTGTCTGAACCATGGACGCACAGGTTTGTCAGGTGATCCAGGAGGGTGCCGACTAGAACCCAGGGGTCGGTCAAAGGCCCCCCTCCTCTAGCTGCAGGCACTGCTGCTGTCCCCTGGGGCTTGCTCAGGCCCTGGTTGCTCAGACTGTTCCCCAACTCTGAAGTTGTAGACTTTGGTTGAACCACAGGAATTGGTTCTAACCGATTAGGACTTAAAAGATACAAACTGTTTATAGGGTTTATCTTTATTCCCTACAACTTTTGTTTTGTTCTGTTTTTTGTTTTGTTTGTGCAGAGAACCAGCAGGCAGGTTCAGATATGTGCTTGGTTTGTTGTTTGGTTATTTTGGTTGTTGGGTCAGGGTTTTGGTTAGGTTGGGCAGGGAGGGCTTTGTGGTGGTTACAGATCATTTCACCTGCGCTGTCATGGCGTAGCTCATCTGACATCCCTGCATTTCTGTCCCCCATGCACCAAAGAAATTCAGGTCTTTTCTTCTGGACGGCTCCACCGGCAGAAGGCCGAGCTGCAATAATGGCCTGGAGGCCGTGCCCGAGTCTCCGGGCTTCTGAGTGCACACCGCTCACTCCTTCTTTGCAATGCACTGTGTGCATTTTGAAATTGACCTTCAGTGATCTCAGAGCAAGCTGACCACCTGTCTGGGCACAAGTGATGCTCGGTGTCCCCGTTTGGCCAAGGGGAGTTAGCAGGGGCGTGTTCGCAGGCAGAACCCCCGAGCTAGTCTGTTTCCTAGAGGTCTGGGGGGCTTCTAGAACATCACCTGTGCTCAGAAGCGCAGAGCAGGCCCTGGGGACAGCCGGGAACAAGAAATTTTCCCCTCATTAAGAGATCATTTTCAGTTCATGTGTCTTGTTCTGTCAATGACAATCTTACAAGGAAACTGAGAGGCATTATGTACAACTATGTAAGTAGATTTATTTTTTCATTTTCAAATAACTGCAAAAAAGAAAAAAGTCCTATGTAACAACTACAAAAAAGAAATCCCATGGGAGATTCCTAACAGGCATTACTGCTCCCATCTTGTGAGTCTCACGAGCCTCGCGGTGCCTCGGACATGCCCGGGGCCCTGCTGGCCGCCTCCCTTCCCCATGGAATTATTGTCAGCCAGAGGTGCTAATAGCTTCTGTTGTAGCACAGGGAGCCCTGGGGTCCCTAGCTTTAGGGAATCCCCCACAGGGAGGCAGCAGGCTCCTGGCCTGGGGCTTTCTGGTGTCATCATTTGGAGGTGGCCTCACTATTATGGCTGCCGCCTCCCATTCCCCTGCCCAGTTCCGGTGCCCAGAGAGCAGCTGTGCAGACTGGACACAGGCTGGAGTCAGTCTCCCAGGATGCTGTGCGCATGGGGAAAACGGGTGTCTGAATGGAGAGTAACTCAGACTTACAAGGTCGAGGAAGTTTGGGAGGAGGGAGTGTATTTCGTTACTGATGTCAATTCGAGGCACTTTCTTAGGGTTCGGCAAGCACCAGCATGCCGGCCTACACTGCTGAGGTATCTTGGGTTTCGTTCTTTTGCACTGGATGCACCCTGTAAATACTACATCCACACTGCAACCACTGTGGTTTCTGCTGCTGCTCGTTGAGCTCTGCCATGTAGGGCCGGAGCCGTATGGACGCGGCTCTTGGGGACAAAACAGAAGCTGGTTTTTGTTTTTGTTTTTAAACAAAAAGCCATAGAACTTGGGTCGTGTTTTTCCATTTTAAAATGATTTCTTGAAACAAGGTAATACTAGTGAAAACCCACAGGCACCAAATAGCCTGCCTGAAAAGGTCTGATAAAGGCATTTTCCTGTGATGGACGATAATGAAGTTTGCACGGCTGAAAGCCGAGGTGAGGGTGTGAGGGACCCGATTTGCAGGCAGAGGAGTGCGGCGGGTCACGCCACCCGAGCTGCGGGGACGGCCCTCCACTCTGCCATTTCCACTGGTTTGAGTCACATGTTTTCTAGATTTCAATTGTATTACTGCAATAAAACTTTGAACAGGACGGGGCTCATGCGTCCGTCTTTTCCGTGCCCTGCTACACCTCGGGACGCGAGGAGATCTTATTGAAGAACATGCATTTATACCATCGGGCGCTCATCCTGCAGGCCAGGGAGGCATCACCAGACATTGTGGGGCTTCTGAAGACAGCCGCCCAAGGAGCACACATTTCCTCCCCTTTCTAGCAGGTTTCCCTAGCAGGAAGATGGGTCTGCAGCATAAGCAACTGGTGTGACCCTCTGTTTTGGTTAAGATGGAAGTAGTACTTGGAAGAGACATGCCAGCCAAACCAAAGATGATTACCAGATTAAAGGAGCAATCTAACGGTTGCCTAGTACCTGGTGGGGGGAACGACCCTGGCTTCTGCGTGGGGGCGTGGCCTTCAGCACCAGCCTGTGTCCTCAGCTTTGCTGCTCAGTGCAGTGCATGCAGTTACGAAATTGGCCTCACGGGGGAGCTTGTTGGAAACAGGATTATAGAGTGACACTGCAAGATGATGACTGCCTGGCACGCTCACCGTAACAGCAGGTACGGGTCACCCACTGAGAGTTAAGGAAGATGGGTGACCATGAGAAACACCGAGGATAGAAGACGGAAAGCACTGCCCGCATCACCTGTCCTCACTCCATGCTGGACAGTGCAGAGGCCTTGCTTCCCACCTCAGGGAAGGGAACTGAAGGGCAGACCTCACATATCAAACCCACTTCCAGATGCGCTTGCGCCAGCTTCACCCTACCCCACCGCCGCCCCCCCCCCACCTCTAGCAAACTGAGCAAGACTCGCCACCAGCGAGTACACATGGAAAGAGCTTTAGGACTCGGCCTTAGTGCTAACCCAGCACCAAAGGCGTATTCCCAGAGGCCCACTGCTTTCCAACGGAGCTATGGTACCTCCCCAGGCATCCAGGGGACACCTGCACCCAGGTGGGACAGATGCACTTTGCAGTCACTGCCAGCTTCATACACACTGTATGTACCCCACGCCCCCAGCAGATTGGCCAGGGCCTGGCGACTAGGATTCTGGTGTCACCTGGGTCATGAAGGGACTGACCTAATCACCCCTCTGCCAGTGATGGGCAGATTGACTGTCCCTGCCCTGGGTCTGAGGACAGCTCTCGGTCAGCCCCTAGCTCCAGTTCCAAGCAGCGCCCATCTTAGCAGCATGCTCTCGGCCCATGGTGGGAGCTACAGGCCCGCCTGCCTTGTGCGCTGGTCCCGGTGGGCTGTGAGCGCAGGGGCATGTAGTAGTCTAGCATCAGTGACCAGAGGACCTGGCCCTAGGAAGGGGCCTGCTGGGGGAGACCACCCCTTCCCCCTTTTCAGAGAAGTCCCTAGTTCATTCCGAACACCAGCAGCAGTGACAGCAAGGCACAACCATGGGTCCATCTCATGCTGACAGGCCTGACCCCAGGCTCAGAGGAAAGAGGCAGAGAGCTTGAGATTTCTAGAAAAGATACCCCGACCAAAGCCAGATTACAAAACCTGGCCGAACTCGTTGCACAACCAACACTGTGCCAGCAAAGGCCAAGAACTTCCTGGCAACCTTGACCTCACCTGACAAAGATGCCAGCAGGCAATGCGAGCAGCAGATGATAGCTGAGACTTGAGGTGAGGATTGCAGAACAGCTGTTTCAGGGAAAAGCACTGAACTGCACAGAGAAATTATCTAGCATTCAAGTGCATCTCGCAGCAAACTTGACAGAAATAATTTTTTTAATTAAGTAAAATGAATAGAATTAATGAGCTAAGAGCCAGGCTATTTGAAAATTAAGTGGGGAGAAAGAAGCAATGAGGAGAGCTAACGGAAACATTGGGGATGCGAAAAGAACTTGCTGAGATGCAGAAGGCAGTGGGACTGCAGACCGGGTGGAAACCCAGCACATTCAGGAAGAAACAGCATTTGCAGAATTCACAGAATTGCCCTGGGTATGGGTCCGAGGTGACCAGTCAGAGTGACCTCAAGACAAAAGAACCCTGCAAGGCAAAAGGATTCTCAAAGCAGTTCGCACATACCCCGACAGTGGGTCACCACTTGTGAAGTCCATGAACACGCCACTTTTTCTTTTATGATTGATTGGTTAATTTGAAATGTAGAAAGGGAGAAGACGGCTGAGAGCTCTTCCATATGCTGGTTCACTCTCCAAATGGCCACAATGGCTGGGTCTGGACTAAATCGGAGCCCCGCAGCCCAGGTTTCCCACATGGGTGCAGGGGCCCAAGCCCTCAGACCATCTGCCGCTGCTTTCCCGGAGCCACAGCAGGGAGCTGCACTGTGGCATAACACGTATAGACGCTTCCAAGGGCATCAGCATTCCATTTGGACACTGGTTCCAGTCCCAGCTGCTCCACTTTCTGTCCAGCTCCCTGTGCCTAGCCTGGGAACGCAGCAGAGGCAGTCAGGTGCTTGGGCCCCTGTACTCATGTGGGAGACCTCAAAGAAACTCCTGGCTTTGGACCAATCCAGCTCGTGTTCTTGTGGTCATTGGGAGAGCAAAGCCCTGGACAGAAAATCCCTGACTCTCCCTAACTCTGTCAAAGAGAAACAAGGCAAAAAAAAAATGGAGCAGCCCTGACCTTCACCCATATGGGATGACTATTCCTATTGTCAGTTTACTTCAGAAGGCTTTTAAAAAATAACTTTATTTTTATTAGAAGGGCACACTTACAGGACAGACCACGATTTTCCATCTGCTGGTTCACTCCCCTGATGGCTGCAAACGCTGGAACTGAGCCAATCGGAAGCCAGGGCCAGGAACTTCCATGTGAATGTAGGGTCCCAAAAACCTGGGCCATGCTCCACTATGTTCTCAGACCTTAAGCAGGGAGCTGGATCACCAGTGAAACAGCCAGGACATGAACTAGCACCCATATGGGATGCTAGCACCCAGGTGGAGGATTGGCCTGATAAGCCATTGCCCTGGTCCCTCCGGTAAGCTTTTAAATAAAAGCAGGTCAGGTGCAGCTAGTGTAATGGCTCAACTAGCTAATACTCGGCCTGCAAGCACTGGCATTACGTACAGGCACTGGTTCTAATCCCAGCTGCACCATTTCCCATGAGCTCCCTGCTTGTGGCCTGGGAAAGCAAGAGAGAATGGAACCCTGCACCCATGTGGGAGTCCCGGAAGAAGTTCCTTCTCCTGCTTTCAGCTCAACTCTGACCATTGTAGTCATTAGGGGAGTGAACCAGTGAATGAAAGTGGAAGATCTTTCTATAAATTTGTCTTTCAAAAAAAAAAAAAAAGTTAAGGGGCCAGCTCCAGGCACAGATGAAGCAAAATCTTATGGAACCCTATATGATCTCTGGTTTGTGTCCCAGAGGACCCACTCCCCACCCAGCTCCCTCCTGTGACCTGGGAGAGCAGTCGGGGATGGCCCAAAGCCTTGGGACCCTGCACCTGCTTGGGAGACCCAGAGGAGGTTCCTGGCTCCTGGCTTTGGATCAGCTTGGCTCTGGCTGTTGCGGTCACTTGGGGAGTGAATCAACGGACAGATCTGTCTCTCCTTCTCTATATACCTGCCTTTCCAATAAGAATAAATCAATCTTTTTAAAAAGTCAATTAGAGGGAAATAATTGAAAAGCATAAATAAATACTTAAACCACTAAAAATCTCAGAGAGCTGAGTCTTTGAAAAAGATAACATAATCAACATTTTGAAATCTGCATGTCAGAGCTACAGTGAGCTGTCACTCCAGTAAGACTGGCTATTAATGGAAAAAACTTGCAAGTGCTGGCTGGGAGGGGGAGCTAGAGGAACCGGCTGCTGCTCCAGCTCACTGCTATGGGACCCAGGCTGGAGTTATTCCAAAAGTAAGAAAAACATAACTGGGGCCTGGCGCAATAGCCTAGCAGCTAAAGGCCTTGCCTTGAACGCACCAGGATCCCATATGGGCACCGCTTCTAATGCCGGCAACACTGCTTCCCATCCAACTCCCTGCTTGTGGCCTGGGAAAGCAGTCGAAGACGGCCCAAAGCCCTGAGACCCTGCACCCATGTGGGATACCCGGAAGAAGCTCCTGATTCCTGGCTTTGGATTGGCTCAGTACCAGCCATTGCGGCCACTTGGGGAGTGAACCGTCAGACAGAAGAGCTTCCTCTCTGTCTCTCCTCCTCTCTGTATATTTGCCTTTCCAATAAGAATAAATATTAAAAAAAATAATAACTGCCACCCTCTGACTCCATAGTCCCACTACCAGGTAAGTGTCCACGGAAAACCAGGCTGCCCAAGAGAGGCCTGCACTGCCAAAGTGTAGTACAGAGCTGGTCACAATAACCGAGAGATGCAAACAGCCAAACTGTCCATCAGCTGACAGGCATCAGAAACCTGTGACACATGCATATGATGTAATGCTGCCTGGCCCCCCCGTCACTGCCTACAGGCAAGTGGAACTGGAGGTTGGTATGTTAACCAGAAGGCACCAAGCATGACCTTCTTGGTGAAAATCAAAAAAGGTAGCAGAGAAATGAGAGAGTTTGGACCAGCATGGTAGGATATGAGGTTAAACCATTGCCTCCAATGCTGGCATCCCCATGGTGCTGGTTCAAGTCTTGACTACTCCACTTCCCATCCAGCTCCCTGCTTGTGGCCTGACAGAGGAGGATGACCCAAGTCCTTGGCCCCCTGCACCCATGTGGGAGACCTGGAAGAAGTTTCTAGCTCCTAGCTTTGGCCTCACCCAACCCTGGCAGTTGCAGCCCCCTGGGGATGGAAGATGGTGCTGTCTCTCCTTCCCTCTCTCCACAAGTCTCCCTTTCAAAATAAAGCTTGGAGAAATGAGTGCAATCAGGCCAGCAGTGGCAAGCCAGGGATGAACTGGAGCACTGCTTAGCCAGAAAGAGCAAGATCCCTGGTGTTATAACTCACAGATCCTGTGTGGGACAGCACAGGGGAGTGGCAGGCATGGGCACTTAGTGCAACAATCAGGTGCCTGCTGGGCACTCACATTCCAGACCAGTGATGCCCCCTTGGAAGGCAGCAAATGACAGGTACAGTGGCTGGGTCCCTGCTCCGATGGCAGGGACGCCTGAACCAGTTCCTGGCTCCCTGACATCTGGGGGGATTGCAACCAGGAGGAAGAGGATGCTGACTTGCTTGCAACATGAAGAAACGTTTGGGAAACAGACAGGTTTTCCCGATCGGACATTATCTCAGGTCTACACCTCGGGTACTGGAACATCACTCAGTACCCTAGAAACACAGCTTTTCAGATGGCCGACATTTTCTTAAACGTTCTAAGCCCCACCGCATCTTTGTCGACACACCTGTACGGTTTTACATTTTCTACCAGCCTCCTTAAAAGCACAAACAGCAACAGGTGCGACCTGCATGTTCATCCAGGCTGTCCCAAAGCGCTGTTTGACCGCGGGAGCAACTGAGAAAGCCATACCTGTTCTTGTGCGAGCTTCGTCTTGGACTGGCCAATGTCTGGCGCTGGAGCCTGCCTGCCGTGTGCCCACGTGGGCACTGAGGGGCAAGGGGCGTGGAGCATTTTGAGAGCAGAGGCCGAGGCAAGGCACTGTGCGGTAGCCTTGAGATGCAGTGGAAGGGCAGGGAAAGGTTATTGTGCCACAGCAGGGGCTCCAGTCCCCCACCAGCTGCCTCTGGGGTCTCCCGCTGGCCCTCCGCCAGGACACTGGGAACCCTGTGGGCAGGCCTGCAGCTGGCCTGCAGCTGGCCTGCAGCTTGGAGTCCCAGCAGGGCCCAAGCTTGGTCCTGCGTTAAGCCTGAGGCATGATGGGGCAGTTCCGTAGAGGGCAGGGAGCCGGGTGGGGGCTGCACAGGATGGCTTACCCAGACTGTGGAGTCCTCAAAGTGGAGGGGCCTGAGGCTAAGACCCCCGGCTGCCCATGGAAAGGTCAAAGGTTGTGTGTCCAGCCCACCTCGCGGCTTAACGGAGAAGAGCCCGTGCCGTGCCTTGCTGTTCGGTTCTGTGCGCCAAGCGCACCCCCTCCAAAGCTGCAAACCCTGGACCGGCCCACAGGTGCCACAAATCCTGCATTCTTCCCTTCCACAGGCCTGAGGGAGGCCAGGAAACCATTTTGACTTTACAGAGGAATCTCCTGAACCTGATCGTTGCTGGCAACCACCTGGGCCCCTGCAATCTCTCATGCTGTGGGGACAGTGGTGTGATGAAGGGTCCCCTCAATCATGGTACCCGTTGGCTAAGAGACAGATGAAAGGGGCCGCTCTTCCCCAAGTCAGGGAGCCCCTAGCCCCCTGCAGATTCCTTGGCTGGGTAGTGGGCCCAGGGGAACTCATGAGCTAATTCCAGCCACCTGGCTCTCCTCCCCACCCCCGTAAGTCACTGATCCCTGCTGTGCTTTATCCATCCATCAAGAAAAAAGCATGTAGCAGGATCTTCTAAAGTTGAACACTTCAGTAACCTACCTTTATTCAAAATGAATTTTAGAGGGACCAAAAACAAACTTGTTCTGGGGCCCGATCTTTGCCAACTAATGAGTGGATGCAGGTGTGATGCCACAGCATAGCGCGTTAAACTACCACCTGTAGTGCCGACATTCCCATACAGGTGCAGGTGTTCGTGTCCAGCAGCTCCACTCACTCCAGCTCCCTGCTGGGAGGAAGCTACCAAAGCAGCAGAAGATGGCTCATCCATGGGCTCCTGCACCCACATGGGAGACCTGGAGGAAGCTTTAGCCTCTGACTGGCCCAGCTTTGGTGGTTGTGGCCACTGAAGAGTGAACCAATGGATGGAAGATTCTTTTCCTCTGTAACCCTGCCTTTTAAATAAGAGTGAGTGGATGGATGGGCGGGGCCTGCAGAGACAAGGGAGGAACATTTTGTTTTGCTGCTGTTTCTAAATCATTTATTTGAAAAGACTTCCTGTCTCCTGGTTCACTCTGCAAATGCCTGCACAGCTGGGACTGGGCCAGGCCACAGCCAGGAGCCAGGAGCTCCATCCGGGTCTCCCACAGAGCTGGCATCCACGCAGGAGCCGGTCCCTAAGGGTGTTTGCTCATCCCATGAGGTTGTGCAAAGATCCAGCAGCGGGACGGACTGTCACATGTCTCCTTCCCTCAGGCACTGTCCAGGGCACAGACATTGCGACACCAGCTCAGACACACCCAAAAGAAAACAGGACTGGAAACACTGCTTCCCTGAGGGCCAGGCCCTGCCCAGGGAGAACACCGGCCCAGGACCGGTCTCGCACCCATGCGGGCTGCCCTAGATGGAGGAGGGGTGGTCCCACGGACTGCCTGCTGAGGGTGGAAGGGCATGGAACTGCCACAGGATAGCCACACAAGCACAGCCCAGAGAGCCTGGCACATGGACTTGCCCAGCCCAAACTGCAGGGTGAGTACATGGAGCCCAGACCAGGGCCCACTGCCTCCCTCCACCACCACACCCCCACTGCCCATAGTGCCCATGCAAACCCCACCCGCACCACGCATGAGGGGTTCCCCAGTCAAGAGTGCCCCTCCTTCAGGCTCCTCCTGGGTAGGGAGTGTGTGGCCCACAGCAGCCTGTAGTCCCATGGCCCAGGGTGCTGGGCGCCCCAGCTCGGTGAGGCCAGACAATCCCCGAGTTCCCGAGGTGCCCAGTCCTTCCCTAGGGCTTCACAAGACCTTTTAAAAGCACATTTTCATCTCTTTGCCCTTTATCCATTTGCAGTGCTGTCTCCTTCCTTGACTCTTACGCCTCTTCACAGCCTGACTACCCCACAGGACAGGAGGACTGTCCATCTTGGCTTGTGTGCTTTGCTTCAAGTGACTCACCGAGAATGAAGGGGGAGAGCAGGCAGACAGACCCACCCCGGCCCCAAGCAAAAATAAAAGCAGTCTTCTTCTGAGTATGAATGAGTAGGGGAGGAGTGGGAGAGGCTGGGTCCCCTGGCAGGTGCATGTTTCCAGGTTGGCACGGGGGAGCCCCACAGCACATTGTTCTGAGCACACCCCCCCCCACGGTGGTACTCTCTGCCAGGGCAGCCCCGCGCAGGACGGGTCCTCGGGGATCCCACACACCTAGGGATGCATGGTGGTCCTACCACACTCTCGGCCTTTGCGCATGAGTCCCCCGTGGAAGCCAGTGCAGGAATAACTAAAGAGCTGAGGCACTGGCTCCACCACGCCACTCCATAGACCCTCTTCTACCCTGAAGCGCGAGTCCCACTGAACCCTCCCTTGGCTGAGACGCCCCCCTCAGCTCCTGCACCTGCTGCTGGAGAACAGTGAGGAGGCTCGGTCTCACTCCGATCGCTCTGCAGTGGCAGCAGCAAGAACTCTCCGTGAAGCCACTCTCCCCCGACACCGACTTTCTGGCTCAGTACTTCCCAGCCCCACCAGGCAACACTACAGGACCCCAAGGCCCGAGCAGTGGTTACTGCGCCTGCACAGGTTACAGCCTCTCCTCAAACAAACCTGGCTGAAGTGGGAATCCGAAAGGACCGAGGGAAGACGCGCCACACGCCTGGTCTGTTCACATCAATCAAGGAGGGGAAACTCTGGGCCCATTTAAAATGCATGTTTTTATTGAAGCTTTAAAAAAAATTGCAACCAAAGAATAAAGTAAACAAGAATGTTTATAATCTGACTATATAATTCTCTCATTCTTGGTGGATCACTAAAATATAACAGATTGTTCTCTATCTATGCTAATTGGAAGGTTGTCCAGTTAAACCATCATTTGGTATCCTTTGAACAGGGTAACCCTTAGCTATTTAGTCTCTTCCCAGAAACATTCATAGATTACACAGGAAACATTCATAGTTTATTTAGGCAATATTCATATTTTATACAGAATGTACAAATTTGAGACAATAAAAAAAAAAATCACACAATTCGAGCCGCAACACTACCCTAGCCGCACTGTGGTGATTATGGTGTTGCGCTAGCATCCGTAATATACAGCGGGGCTCTCATCGCGTCACGTACAGAGGGCAAAGCACTTGTCTACAGGGGAAGGGAAAGGCGCCCGGGGTTTAATGTGCACTTTCACAGCCCTAGGAAAACACAACCACTATATACACTGTAAACACCGCAGGGCACGACAGCCATCTCCCACCACAAACACCACGCTCCCGGACCAGGCATACAGGGTTCAAAGGTAAGGTGCTGACTCTCCCCGGGCAAGCACACCGTCCAGCCAGAGTCTGCTGGGCCCCCCAGGGGATATCATTCCAAGACTTCAAGGACGCCACCGGTGCTCTGACCCTCCGAGGGGCCTGCCTGCAGAATCTGCAGCAAACTCTTAACAATGTCCTTGACAGCGTCGGCCCCTATCCTTGGAGAATGGGCGGCAGCTAGGAAGACAAATTCACAGCCAAGTGCATCAAGCTGCGGGCACCAGGCCAGCTCCACAGTGAGGCATCCCCAGGAGCAATGCGACCAGTTCTGTCCAGCTTGTACGTAGATTCAGAAAACGCCTGCGTGCCAGAGGTCCCGGTCCCAGTGGACCTCTGCAGAGTGACACCTGGTCAGCAAGGCCCACAGTGGTTCCGGCCGGGCCTGCGGCTGCCTCCCTGTGCTGCAAGTCAGTAGTCCTCCTCGGTGTCAGTGCCCTTGGCTTTCTTGTGAATCGCCCGGTTGAAGCTGTGGCAAGCAGGGACCCAGTGATTGTCATGGAGCCCCAGCTTACAACCAGGGAAGGCCTTCTGAGAACGGTGGCAGCACATCCAGTACCCGGGCCCATAGGGCAGGGCCTGGCAATAGGGCTTGGGGTGCCACCGGCAGAGGGACACGTCCCCTTTCACATATTTCTTCTTGCATTGCTTGCAAGGATCCTCCCTGTAGCGTGGATCCCGGACCCAACGGGAATCCGCTGGCCGGATGTTGTAGTACTCGATGATGAACTTGAAGTAGCAGCAGGTACACTTAAGAGCTACGAGGCTCTTGGTGGGCAGTAACCTGAAGATTTTCACCATAATGTGGTGGGGCAGAAAAGCCATGTACTGCTGAGGCTCCAAAAGTTGCTGGATTTTGAACCTCGTCTCCAGAAAGTCATGGGACACCTGCTTCTTGCAAGCGGAGGCCTCCAGCACGGGCAGGGGCGGCTCAGCGGGAGAGGCCAGGGATGCGCCGGGCTCAGTGGCAGTGCTCTGGCCTTCGGGGTCAAGGTCGGCATGCCCCTCGGCGGGGGTGTCAGGCTCTGTGGCTGCCGAGGGCTCTTGCATTGTGCTTTTGTTTGGCGGGACACAGGGTGCCTGGTGCTGAGCAGGTGGCAGGAAGAAGAGCATCCCTGGAAGAGGGTCCTCGCAGGCAGCTAACGGAGAGGGCTGGTCGGCCTCCACCTTGGCCACGGTGATGCGAATGCACACAGACTCTTTACTTCGCGGCTTGGGGCTCTGGCCACCCAGCGGCTCAAGCTCCCGACTCCCACGCTCGCCTGCACCCTGGGCTGGTTCGGCGGCTTGGGGGCAGGTGTGAGGAGGACACGGAGGCCTCACAAGTTCCTCTGTCATCTCCACATCATACCTGTCACTGTTCTTCACTGTACTTGGCTGTCCTGGCTCTAATCCTGGGCAGCTGGGGTGGAAATTGCCACCCATGGGCAGTGGGGGGCAGCCCCGGGGGCCGCCATCCCATGCACGCTCCCCCGCAGGGGAGCAGCGGTCCACGGACAAAGAGCGTGCGGGACTCAGGCGGGTGCTGGGGGCCTCTGGGATGCCACGGCATGTCTTGGTATCCTCAGCTTGGGCACCAGTGGCTAGCAGCACCCTACCCACGTGCCGGCGGAAGCTGTTGTTGCGCGAGAGGCTGCCGGCCTCACGCTGGCTCTGCTGTTTCAGGCACTCCGACTCCAACCTGGCCACCATGTCCAGGACACGCACTGGTTCGCTCGGTGGCTCCCCAATCTCGGGGCTTCCCCTTCCCGCGGGTTCCTCACGAGCTCCTTGGGCTCCGCAGGGCTCTGAGGACAGGGCCCCAGTGCGGGGTTGGCCATTCGGCCTGGCGATGGCGGAGGAGCTAGTGCTGGTCTTTGCACAGCTGGCCAGCAGGGCGCTGGCCCGCTGCTCCAGCAAGGCCACCATCTGGATGACAGAGAGCGGCCTGCCGGCCTGGCCACCCTCACCACCGTCACTCCCGGCTTGCAGGGTGCAGAGCTCAGCGCTACACGCACAAGGCTCAGGCGGGCAGCTCCTGCCGCTCACATCCTGCATCCTTTCTAACTGGCTCTTGGCCTTTTTAAGCTCCCCTGACTTTTTCCTTCTTTTAGTAGCTCGCCCATCGATATCCCAGGAGCTTTTGATTTTCATTGATCCTATCCGATTGCTACACTGGTGGGCCGCGAAGAAGGCGATCTTTTCCTTGGTATTGCCCGGCCTCACAACAGCCCAGATATCGAGTGGCCCGTCGGCGGGCTCGCCCTGGTGAATGGTTGTAGATGGCGCATTCTTCTTAGTCTTGACATCCAGGCCGTTCTCTAGAGGGCTCTGCCCACTCATTCTGCACAGGACATTTGGGGGAAGGATCCCCAAAGGCTGGCGGGCCGAGGTGCTGGCAGGTGTATGCCAAGGGAAGGCTGGCTTCCGGCAGGCGGCTCTCCGTGGGGCTTCCTGGCTGGCCTTTGCAGGGCTCATAAGAGTCTCCAGCAGTTCCCTGCGGGTTTCCAGGGGGTGTTCTCCCTTCTGCAGTTTCCAGTGTGGCTTCAGGTGCATACCAGAGGCCCTACAGGAAAGAAACACACACTTGATTAGCAAACCAATTCTGCTCCGAGGAAAGCTCAAGAGGCCCAGGCAAGGCACAGGAACCCTCTCTAGAGGCACACTAAGCTTTCGTCGCCTCTCACTGCAGCCAGCTTTAAAGTACAGATCAAGAACAAATGCAAAATGATCTGCAGTTTTGTACAGGAAGAATATATGCTGATTTTCAAGTATGGATTTACATTCTACACATCAAAACAATTCTTTAGGGGGGTCATGGTTGTGGCATAGTGGCTGAAGACGTCCCCTACGAAGCCAGCATCCCATATAGCGGTGGGCTGGGTCCCGCTGCTCCACTTCCCACTGGCTCCCTGCTAAAGCACCTGGGAAGTCAGCAGAGCATGGGCCAGGTGATCGGAGCCCTGCATCCATGTGGGAGTCCCTGGTTAAGCTCCTGGATTCAGCCTGGCCCAGCCCTGACCATTGTGGCCATCGGGGGAGTGGGCCAGTGGATAGAAACTCCATCTGTTTCAAATAAAATAACAGACCATTACAACCAGCATTTTATTAGTTACAAGCAGTTTACCCAAAGTTGCTGCATTGCTCTTCTTGCTGTTACATATCTGTAGAAGGCCATGCATTTACACCCAGCCCAAGGGCTCAAACCAGTGGAGTTTACACCACAGTGAGGGGGCCACTGACTGACTGAGGCGCTGAAAGCCACCCCCAAGGCCATCACTGACTGGCTCACAGCAGCCCAGCCAGCTGTGCGCCCCGGCAACCTTGTCTACTTGCACTGTTTGCTCAGCACCTCTCTAATCCACAGCTGCCTAATTCAAAATTTTTCATTTTAGTCTTAATTTTTGAAACACAGTCATGTTTCCTACAACCACTGAAATCAAAACCAAATCAACATAGAGCCATTTCACGCAGCTCAGGGAAACAGGACTCTGCTCCATGCCTGGCTGGGGCTGGAGTCGGCAGCGAGAACATGGCGGAGACCTGTGTGAGAGGCCGTGCATCTCACGGAGCAGCCAGACACGGCGCTGTTCTCTCTGGCCCTGAGCTGGATTGGTAACTGAAGAACAACAATACCATAACTGAATGACCGTGCCAACCTACATGTCAAAACAGACCACTGCCACCCAAAACATTCTGGGCTGAGAAGTGCTCTCTAGAGCTAGCTGGTCTCCTGCAAATGAGTCTACAGTCCCAAATGAGAAGGGCCCTGGAGGGTGCAGAAGCCAGGGAAGAGCACCTGCTGGGTCTGCCCCCTCTCCTCCCCTGGATGGCAGGCTCAGACTCCACGCTGGGTACCTCTGCCCATTTTCTTCTCATTTGGTCCACGTCTTCCTCTCTTTCGGATGATCAGTTTTAGTTGTCAAGAGTGAAAGTGATCATCCGGAACCATCTAGCTTTTATCCCAGCCTTTCCCTCCTGGAGGGGCATGCCAGGGGCAGAGGGTCTCTGCAGTTAAGGCAGGCACAGTTCCACCATCAGATTCTGTCATTTAATCTCACAAAAAGTACCACCCACAAATTTTCAAGAACAAGGTGACATCTATAGGAATAAAAAAAGATACACCCAGTGCTCTTGGTGCCAAGTGCTCTGCGTTCTCATATCCATTCAAACCCCCAAGCGAGAAGAAACAAATGGAGTTTGTGGAGAAACCAACAAATTCTTATATAATGGTCTCATTACATAGTGTCAATAAATTTAAACTTCAGCAATGTGTGCACTGCTCCTGCACTGTATTGCGTGTTCTCCTCGCCCTCCTCCTCACATTATTTTAGGTGCTATTATTGACAGACAGGGACATGAAGAAACTAAATGAGATAAGGCCTTTGTTGGCAGTGGACCTATAAAGTGAGGTCAGTTGGCACATGTGGTTGCAGCAAGGTGAAACAAGTGGTGACCCCAGTAAACAGTGATGCAGGAAGCAAAGTGTGACAGGAAATAAGAAAAGCCATTAAGGGCCATGGCCATGGGAGCGAGCCCTGGGAAGCAGGGTCAATTCTGTGGGCCCCTATAAGGTTGTGCGACATCCAGGCACCTGCTGGCCGCCTCCACAGGGCAAGGGCTGTTCAAGGACAACTGCTCTCCTTCCCTTGCCAGGCAGGACACAAAAAGGAGCTGGCCAGCCATCGATGAGGCTGCAGAAATCTACATTTTGGCTGAAATTTGAGTTTTGGTGAACTAAGAGGATATGACTCCAGGCCCCAGGAGCATCTGCTGCAGAAATCCATCACGTGTAAGAACTCTCAACCTCCCAAGAGGCTGCAGCAGATGGAGGCAGTTCCCCAACTCCACCTCACTGCCCCCACACAGGCCCTGTGGAAAGTTCCAGCCAAGTTTCCATGGTTGCCAACCTCTCCATCATAGCTTTATGTTAAAATCTGTTACAACACAGTATTGCTCTTCTGAAATTAACTGAAATGTGGATTTACAGCACCTACACATCTGTGTTCCCTAGATATTCAGAAAAAAGATCCCCAGGCCCATGGAATCCCTGGGCTTCATGTGTAACCTTTGGCAGAAGCGAGAGGGTTCCTGGGGTTTCTGTCTTCAGATTCAGTGTCGATCTAAAAGGTAGCAGACCTAAGGTTTGGGCTAGGGAACTGGCAACTAACAGGTGAGGTGGGACTGCCCGACAATGGTCCACAGGAAGCAGTTACTCCAACAGCCCCGTATGCTTACGATGCTCATTCTAGGAAAGCATAATGCGGTCAGAGCCTTCTGACTGCTGAATCCCCCCTTCAACTCCAAATGCAATTCTTCAGTGTTGCTGACAGCCCTGTCCACCAGACTTTCTGCTCCAGCCCTTGCACAAAGTTCCTCCGAATCCTCTCTCTGGACCATGACTCTTATAAAGCAACCCCATGATTACATGTGGCTTTAGCACTTGCATGCACACAACTCCCACTATCCAGTAGACACTCACCTCAAAGTCATCAAGAACCTACAAATGAAGCACCAGGTCCATCAGGGCAGGAGGGGCCCTTGGATCCCTGGCTCCTGGCCCCACACCCCATCACCAGCTCAGGAAAACGTGCACAGCTTTTCAGCGTGTGCCTGGGTTCACACAGAGGCCTTATCTCTACCCTCCTGGTGTGAGCTGACGAAGGCCTCCCTCTATCATGCCCTACCGGCTGCCTGGAGTGTGTGATAGGAGAGGGGGTCCACCAGTAGCAAGCCTAGTCTCAGTGTGCAGGAACAGATCAGAGAAGCTTTTGAGGCAAAACCATGACGCTAATGGCTAAAGGCATAGGACCCCAAAAGCCCACGATGCCAAGGAACTTGGGAGGCAGCTGAGAAACAGAGCATGAGGGAGTGCAGAGTGCGGAGATGCTCAGAGACAGTATGTGAACAAACAGCAAGAACCAGAGGAGCCCACGGAGTGATTTAAAATACAGAAGAAGACATGCAGGGGGAGTGATGGGTCCCTTAGGAAGAGTACAGCCCCCTGCTCTGCCCAGGGGAGGGCAAGGTGGCCAGGCAGACCTGGAGTTGGGGGACAGGGGTCAGGGGAGGGCAGCACCCAGAGATGTTGAGAAGCCACGGTAAGATAGTAACCCAGCACCACACTGTCCTGGGCCTCTCCAAAATCAACAGGGGAAGAGAAGGCAGCTGCACAGAGATTCAACAAGCAGCAAGTTTCCTGGAATACAAGTCTGTCCAAGCTATTCCACGACTAGCATGTACTAATTTTGTAACCAAGGCCACCTACACCATGCGCAGTCCTGAAGGGGACCGTCTCGGGACACATCTATGGCCCTAGAGCCCGCCAGGAATGTGGTGAGAAGTAAAAACAAACCAATTAAAACACAATTTCACTCCAGTGGAGGCTGAAAGCTGGCTTCCAAGAATTTTGGTATTCCTTTTGGACTCCAATGACTAATTGCATTTCCAAAAATCTGGATAAACTCTCACCTATATAGTATTCAATCCCAATATAAACCAACACAAGACAGCCAAATATTATTTTCTTTTTAAAAAAAGCAGGGGTTATAAATGCTAGACTAAAGAACAAGATTGACTCTCTCCAGAGAGAGTGAACTTGACCCCTGAGGAGATATCTGGCAGCCTTTACTTAAGCGGGAGAGGACCATGGCTGCTGACAGGCAGAGGCCTACTTGCTAACTTGTCACTCTTACTCTTCAGGCTTGCCTGGGAAAACAGGTTAGAAGATAAACCATTCCCTATTCTGCTTCAGTAAAGGCACAGGAATTCTGATTCTAGAAGGGGTCTTTCATTAGCGTCTTAAGAACCAGGAAGTCTGTAGCAAGCAAAGTCACCAGCTGCTACCTGAATGCTGTGTCACCTTCCAGAGAAGGCACCACCACAGCCTCCAGGCCCTTCAAAGGGTTTTCATCTTTCCAATTAGGTCCATTTTTTCTTTCTTTTTAACATTTATTTTATTTTTATTGGTAAGTCAGATACACAGAGAGGAGGAGACAGAAAGGAAGCTCTTCCATTCACTGATTCACTCCCCAAACGGCCACAATAGCTGGAGCTGAGCCGATCTGAAGCCAGGAACCAAGAGCCTCTTCTGGGTTTCCCATGCAGGTGTAGGGTCCCAAAGCTTTGGTCCGTCCTCGACTGCTTTCCCGAGCCTCAAGCAGGGTTGCCGGGATTAAAATCAACACTGGGGTCCATTTTTTTCTTTTTAAAGAATTTTTTTTTCTTTTATGTTTTATTCGAAAGTCAAATTTACAGAGAAAAAGGAGAGACAGAGAGAGATTTTCCATCTGCTGGTTCTCTCCCCAAACGGCCTCAATGATGGGAGATGAGCTGATCTGAAGCCAGGAGCCAGGAGTTCTAGGTCTCCCATGAGGATGCAAGGTCCCAAGGCTTTGTACCATCTTCTACTGCTTTCCCAGGTCACAGGCAGGGAACTGGGAGGAAAATGGAGCAGCCAGGACATGAACTGGTGCCACACGGCATCCCGGTGCAAGCAAGGTGAAGATTTAGCCACTAGGCTATTGTACCATTTTCTTAGAACACCATGTAAGCACCCTGCCCCACTCTCCACAGCAGTGACGTATGCAGCAGACCCCCACCCCTCACCCCCAGTGCTTTGTATAAGCAGAGATTTCTTCCAGAGCCACTCTCCTGACCCAGGTGCCTACACCATGCGCCTGGTGGAATGCTGAGCAGGTATGCCCAACTCAAATAGAGCCCCTAAAAAAGCCCGAGGAGGACTGTTTCTCAAACCAAGCTCCAAACTGCCTCTTTTGAAGGAATATTCTCAAGGGCCAGTCCACAGAACCTGTGACCTTCGCCTTGGGAAGCCTGGGCGGTTTCTGCACAATAAAAACACTCCTGTGTCATCTGTGAACAGCAGCCAGTAACCCCTGTAACCACACAATCCTTACACTCATAGGTGTCACCTCAGTGTCCACAAGGATAAATATTTGAATCAAAGTTACTCGTAAAGGCCAATCAAAGCCACCTTCCAGAAAATAAACCAAGATTTACCATTAGCTTTATGAGGGCAACAAAGTTTCCAAAATATTTTTAAAAAGGAGTGTTACTAGCTGAGAAGGACAGTCCCTGTGTTTGCCCTTTTATTGCAATCACAGTAGAAGCAACTTCCCAAAAGGTGTGACACCAGGCCAAACTCTGGAGTTGTGATACTATTCAAGCTTACATGTGTCTCCTGCCGTCTCCCACCACCAATTCTTTGCAGTAGGGAGGAAAGCAGAGGGCATGGACGCTGGCTCAGCCTGTTGTGACCTACTAACTCATAGTTCAGGGTGGAGACATGCTGAAGACCCAATTCTGGTTGCCCTAGCCACGCACACCCAAGTTAACCAGTCAATCAAGGGAACCACTAAAAGGCCTTTCCTATTGCTCCTGTGGCGTAATGTTAACCCACCAAACCAGGACATCACATTTATTGCTACCTAAGCAGATGAGAAATTTGTATTTCCTACATGTCACTAAAATGAACATCCAAAATCAAGAATCACTATTTTTATTGGAAAGACAGATTAGATTTATGGATAGAAGGAGAGACAAAAAGAAAGATTTTCCATCTGCTGGTTTACTCCACAAATGGCTGCAGTGGCCAAAACTGATCCAATCCAAAGCCAGGAGCCAGGTACTTCCAGATCTCCTACACAGGTGAAGGGTCCTAAGGTCTTCAGACCATCCTCCACTGCTTTCCCAGGCAACAAGCAGGGAGCTGGGTAGGAAGTAGAGCAGCTGGTACACAAACTGGTGCCATATGGGATCCTGGTGCTTGAAAGGGGAATGTATTAGCCAATTGAGTCGTCATCCTCCCAACTCCCCCACCAAGGGAATACTGCCTAAGACTAAGGAGCAGACTGCACACAACTGAACAAAGTACCTGCAAAAGTCAGTGCTGGGATGCACCGAGCACAGCTGCAACCTGCAATGCCACAACCTCATGGCTGTGTGTTTCTGATCCGGCTCCCTGTGAATGTGCCTGGAATGGGAGTGAATGATGGTACAAGTACTTGGGCTCCTGTCACATCTGAGGGAGATCAAGATGAAGATCCACGCTCCTGGCTTTTGCTGGGTGTACACCATCAGCCACTGCGGGCATCTGGCAATGAAACAACCGATGAAAGATTTTTCCCTTCCTCTCTGTCATGCTTTCAAATAAATATCATTTTTCTGAAAATTATTACTATATGAGCTACATAAAGGCGAAAAAGTAGCTGTTTGAGGCCTATTTTTATAACTTACCAAAGTCAATTTAAATTCTAGGGTTAAAAGAGATTACTAGAGGCAGACACTGTAGTGTGGTGGGTAAACAAGAATGGCTTTTAACAAGGAAAAACAGAACGCCTAATCTGGGAGCAAAACTGGTTACTACTGAGGCAGTTCTGCATAGATACAACGCTGAGCAAAGGGGAACGGAAGGAGCTTCCCAGGGCCTATTGCAGCTAATTCCTGGCCGTAAGTATGGTGTGCTACTAACAAGGCTGTAATCATGCTGTACAACACTGAACTTGGTCATCACAAGTACGTATTTTCCATGTTATTACATGATCTTCAAACCCATCATCTGGATAATGCGTAAGTGCAAGGCCTACAGTCACTCCTTCCACCCTAGACACGGTAATGTAACACCTCCAAGGGTAATGGCTCGTGTGCATTAAGGGTATGCCCTTAAAAAGGTTCAAGTGACTTCCTGAGTCAGAGTCTGAGTATTTTTCTGCCTAACGACTCACCAAATGGATAGTGCTTAATTTTCATGCTATCACAAAGACAAGTAGGCACAAAGAAATAAACCAAGGCAAAGCTAGAAATGCAAAACAAGTGAGAATACAGCACCTTGTGCACTAGGCACTGTTCTACACTTAAAACAGCCACAAAGCCCTGAAATGTATGTAGATGAGGAAACCAAAGCAGAGGAAGGCTTTGGAACTTGCTCATCACAGTTTTCACATACACTCAGGTCAGGTCAAGGGCTCTGCTCTCAACACCCACAGTGTGCTAAGGTGAGTGCAGACACGGGTCCACGGAGAGGAAGAAGCAGAAGTGCCCTCTGACAGACCACTGGCACACAGGCAAGTCTACTGGGAAAGCGAGCAGAGCTTGGACAGTGGGTTCCATTCTGGCTGCCTCTGGCTTAACACGTTACTTAAAATAATCTATTTGTTTATTAAATATGTAATGTCCCTCTAACTATCTATCAGCCATTGTGTTGGGTCATGGGATTTGCACAGGAAGGAAACTGAGGAATTTCTGTCTCTTATGGCAAACTGAGAAACACATGTTTATTCCTGAGCTTTTCATTCATTTCCTAACTTGGAATGTTCCAGTGTACTGAGATCAACTTAGCAATTAAGCAGATATCAGAATATTCAGGTTTTGCCTTTGGCAAAGAGAAACTTCAAAACACAAGCTGATTCTGACAGTCTATGGCACAGGGCTGAAGGCAGGCAGGGACATGAAGCCAAGTGTGACCACAGGAAGCACCCACGGGAAAACACAGGGACACTGCGCTGGTGCCAGCCTATCTCTGTATGCTAAATTAGGTCCACCAAATGAGGGGTGCCAAAGAACAGGAGCAAATGACACTACAATATAACCATAAGCAAATAGGAAACTAAAACGCTAAACAACAAGAGTAAGACCTGTAAGAACAGGAAATAACATAGGAGTGACGATGAAGACTATGTCTGTTCTATCTCGACTTTCTAGTCCTACCAGCTCTTCCAAGGAATGCACCACGCACAGTACACCACACAACACTTCCCCATTCCCACAACAGACTGGGCAAAGACACACAGTTACCTTGGCGCTCTTGGACGCCTCCCTTGAGCACTCACCTGCTACTCCCTCACAGGTGTGTTGGCGGGCCAGGGCTGCCATAACAGACGTCACAATTGGAGTAGTTGACCTGATGAGAGCATCTCCTTCACAGAGTTCTGGAGGCTAAAGGTCAAAGTCAAGGCCCCAGTAGATTCGGTTGCTCCTTGGCTTCCGGCCAGTCCTTCCCCCTGCACACACAGCCCCCTCAGGTTACTCTTGTCTCCAAATCTGCCCTTAGAGGACAACAGCCAGCCTGCCTGGGTGCCCACCCTCCAGTGTTCTGTGGGCTAGCGTTTTACAATAAGAATTGGAAGGAATATGCTTCACATTAGAAATCTGCCTCTGAGGTAGACAGGAGGAGGCTTATATCCCAACCCTGGGGACTCCTGGATCCTCACCAAGGACTATCAGTATGGGCACCAAGGATTACATCCCAACTGCCAAGGAGACCACGGAGAACTGGAATGCCTTCGGAGGCCAAGAACTCTGAGGTCATCCACCCCCTTATGGATCTACCACATGGGATGGAAGAAGCCCAAACCCTTCCTTGCAGGATCTAAGGTCATCGGAACAACAGCCAGGAGCCTTGAGCAGTCTGCAGAAACAGAAGAACAGTAAGCTTCCTTCAGGTCAGCTTAGCAGCAACAGTTGCAGTCACATGGGAAGTGAATCAGTGGATGGATGATCTCTCTCTCCCCTTCTCTGTGTAACTCTACCTTTCAAATAAACTCTTTTAAATAATCTTTTTTTAGAAAATAAGAAATATCATCTCAGAAAGCCTAATGTGATTCAGCATTAAAAAGGCAGAAATCAGCGGGTTTCCTGCTACAAACCAAACTCACAGCCAACCAAGATAATATTATGTTGTGAAATTATAAATCCTAGCATGTACTCTGCTTGCCTCACATGAAACCATAATCTGACTCTCCTCAAAAAGCAACTCTGGAAATGTGCAGACCACTAGGCAAAAAGAAAAGTATATAAAAATACATGGCATGCTTCTCCACCGCCTGTGGAGGCTGTAACTATCTCCACATGGAGACACAGAGACATATCGCTATGACAGAGATCCAACGACGATGTTGACTGGCCTACCACACATGCTTAGAGCCTCATCCAGAACACTCTTTAAATCTTCGCTGAACCTCAACAATGATGTATTCCAGATGAGACATCCTTTATCTATAAGGGTATGACGGTAACTGACCATCCCTACTGTACAAAGTACCTCCCAACAAGTGAGCTAACTTTCTGATGGATCCAAGAATATATTAGTGGCAAGATGAAGTGATACAAAGTTAATCATTCATGAGACCAATCACACCATTCTTATCTACAGTTATCTAAAAAAATGACCTGAAGACTCCTCTGACAAACCAATGAGAAATGTAAATTCTGTTTTAAAGTTTTATTTATTTGATAATCAGTGCGAAAGAGAGGGAGGGACATGCAGACTTTCCCCATTGCTTTACTCTGCAGATGACCATAAAGGCCAGGACTGGGCCAAGCCAAAGCCAAAGGCTTTGGTGTCTTCCAAGAGGCGTCCTCCCCTGGGCTCAAGCACTAGGATCATCTTTTGCAGCTTTCCCAGGGACACTAGCAGGGAGCTGGCACAAACCGGCAACTGTACAGGTTGCCAGCATCACAGGCAGAAGCTTCATGTGCTATGCTACAATACTGGTTTCCAAAAGGCTTAAATTTTATCAGTTGATCTATCACTTTAATTTGCCTTCTATGCTTATGTACACAATTAATTTACAGGTAACAGACAAAACAGCAAAATCTAGAAGAGAAACTTTTTTCAAAAAGATATTTTTATTCATTTGAACGGCAAAGTTATAAAGAGACAAAGGGAGACAGACAGAAGTATGTTCCATTCACTGGTTCACTTCCCAAATAGCAGAGTCAGGCTCATGCCAGGAGCTTCCAAATCTCCTGTAAGAGTGCAGGGAGCTGGAGTGGAGCTGGAGCAATTGGGATGAAGCACTGCCCACGGGAGAGGACAGTGCCACAGGGAGACTACCTAATACACAGCACCGGCCCAAGGGGGATCTTTAGGAAGTCAAATCAATCAAATATAATACACACATAACATGTATGTTCCCTAAGTGAAACACAGTCAAAAGAAAGGTAATTCACTCATGAGACAGTGTACAGGCATGAGTATGCATGCACACACTTCCAAGTCCTTATATCACAGAGACACATGCTAAAATATTTTTAGATTGAATAATATGATATCTGGGATTTCCTCCAAAAGAACATGGGAGAAAAGAAACAGTAGGGGATAGCACAGAACAGCAATCGCGAACTGATGAACTGCCACAGCTGGTAAGGGGAGCTGTTTTCTTTCTTCTTCTTCCCTGTCTCAGGTTTATTTATACAAATGGCACAGGAGGAGAGCAGCCCAGGGGTTACACCCTTCTTCTGCCCCTGCAGTGAGGGGGAGTTATTTCTGAACATAGCTAATTTTTTCCATAATTGTTTCTTTTAAGATTTTTTTTTTTTATTCCAAAGTCAGATAATACAGAGAGGAGGAAAGACAGAGAGGAAGATTTTCCTTCCAATGATTCACTCCCCAAGTGACCGCAACAGCCGGTGCTGTGCCCATCCGAAGCCAGGAGCCAGGAACCTCCTCCAGGTCTCCCACTCAGGTGCAGGGTCCCAAGGCTTTGGGGCTGTCCTTGACTGCTTTCCCAGGCCACAAGCAGGGAGCTGGATGGGAAGTGGAGCTGTTGGGATTAGAACCAGCACCTATATGGGATCCCAGTGCGTTCAGGGCAAGGATTTTAACTGCTAGGCCACACTGCCAGGCCCTCCATAATTATTTTTTTAAAACATTTGTTTACTGTTAGAAAGGCAGAGTGATACAGAAAGAGGACACATGAAAAGGGAGAAACACTCTCCATCCACTTGTACACTCTCCAAAAGTCCACAACAACCAGGCCTGAGCCAAAGCCAGGAGCCAGGGACTCTCCAGTCTCCCCCAGGGCAGGCGGGACAGGAGTACTGAGCCATCAGCTGCTGCCTCCCAGATCTATTAGCAGGGAGCAGCTTAGGAAGCTGAGTCGTCAGGACTCAAAGCAGAACTCGGATAAAAAAATACTAGTCTCACAAGTGGTAGCTTAACCTATTCCATGAAAGTCCATTCTTGATTTCTAAGGATAAATTAGCAAATGGAAGCATTTGCAAAACTCCAGACCGGGGTGGGGGGTGTGTGGCTAGGAATGGGGTGTAACCATTTAAGCTACCACCAGCAATGATGGCATCCCAAATGGGTGTCATTTGTGTCCCAGCTGCTCTGCCTGTAATCCAGCTCCCTGTGAAATGGCCCAGGAAGAGCAGCAGCAGTGACTCAAACACATGGGTCCCTGCTACCCAGGTTGGAGGACTCAAAGAAACTTCAAACCCGGCAGCTGTGGACATGGCGGGGGGTGGGGAGGACAGCAAAAGGAACATCTCTCCACATATGTAACTCAATCCCTCCCCCCCAAAAAAACCCACAACACTGGATGAAGGAGCTCTAACTGTTCACTGTGCACACACGGTGTGGAGCTGTACACCACATGGTCCAGGCCAGGTGCTGTGGGACCAGGAGCAAGTCCTCAGATGGGGTAGCTCCACGGAGCCAGGCCCCATCCCCCAAGTCCCATGCTGTCAGCTGCAGTCTCCTCTTACTGCTTCAGGCTCCAGGCACTGGCATAAGCTCTTGCCAAATTCTACTTGCATTACTGAAAATGGAACAGGAAATAAACAATAAAACTAAAAAGAAAAAGAGCAGGAGATAAACACACAGGAAGTCAAACAATAAAAAAAGAATTGAATGACAATGGTGGGTCAGCCCTATCAAACCATTTCTTAATTAAATATATGATTTTCAATTCCTTACTCTATAACCTAAACAAAGCAGTTCAGTAAGTTTATTGAATCTGCCTGTATAAAGGTCAACCTTCATAACTTCAAGATAATCACATACAAAGGAAACATTTAAACACATGGGAAACTTTGCTATTTAGAGGAATTTCATAAAGCCTTTTGTTAAAAGAAAAATGCACTTGAGCCAGCACCTGCTATTTCCAGGGTCCACCCCAGAAGGGGAGGGGCCAGGATTAGGTTCCAAAAAGGCATGCAGCTCAAACAATCTCTTCAACAGCTGTACTAAATGCCCTAAGCACCTGAATGCTTTTGTAAGAAGGACACCTCCCACATTCACCCAGAGAGAAAAATTAAGCTGTCCTTTTTTTTTTTTAAAGCTTCATTTCATCTTTATTGGAAAGGCGGACATACAGAGGAGAGACAGAGAGGAAGATCTTCCATCCAATGATTCACTCCCCAAGTGACCGCAATGGCCAATGCTATGTTGGTCCGAAGCCAGGAGCCTCTTCCGGGTCTCCCACACGGGTGCAGGGTCCCAAAGCTTTGGGCCGTCCTCAACTGCTTTCCCGGGCCACAGGCAGGGAGCTGGATGGGAAGCGGGGCCGCTGGGATTAGAACCAGCGCCCATATGGGATCCCGGTCATGCAAGGTGAGGACCCTAACCACTGCACCACCGCGCCACCGCGCCGGGCCCAAATAAGCTATCCTAAAGTAGGATTAATAATGAGGTAACCATCAATATTCACTGAGCACTTACGCAGTTTTATACTGCTCTAAAGAGTCTCCCTATGTATGTGCATGTATGTATTAATTTCATCTCAGGACACAATAGCTATTCCCATTTCACATTGTGACAAATGGTCCGTGAAAGAGCAACGAATATTCTAAAATCCACTTGGAATAATCAGCTTTGGATCATTTTCAAACATGGATGCTCCCAACTCAAATTCATGAGCACCTGGGATCAAGTCCTGCTTCTGCTTCAAGTCCAGCTTCCTGCTAATGTGCTACGACATGAGGCCCTGCCACCACATGGGAGACCCAGGTGGAGCTCCTGGCTCCTGGCTTGGCCTGATCTAGTCTGACTGCTGCAGTCCTCTGCAGCCTGAATCAGCAGATAGAAACACAAACACACACACTCACTCACTCACTGTTGCTTTGCCTTTCAAATAAATAAACTCTCTAGCGCTGATGGTTCTCTACTTATGAATCAGTTACAGAAAGAGAGGGCCCATCAGAGAGGTTTCGTCTGCTGGTTCATTCTCCAGGTGGCCTACAAACAACCATGACCCAGCCAGGCTGAAGCCAAGAGCTCCACCCAAGTCTTCCACCCGGGTGGCAGGGGCCCAAGCACTGAGTCATCTTCCACTGTTTTTCTCAGGCCATTAGCAGGGAGCAGCTGATACACAAACTGGAACCCATATGGGATATCAGCAGCTGCATCACATGGCTGGCCCTCCCGATGGCTCTTAAACTGAAGTATGTTACAGACCAGAGTCTTTTCAAGGTCATTATAAATTATTTTCTGAAAGGCAGAGATACCTCCCATCAGCTGGTTCACTCCCCCACTGCCTGCAACAGTGGGTGGGGATAGGGATGGGGATTCAGGGGTGGTGAAAGCCGAGGACCTAGAACTCAGTTCTATTTCTGGGTAGCCACTCAAGCTCTCAAGCCATTGCCTGCTATTTCCCAAGATGAACGACAGCGGGAAGCTGCAATCAGGAACATAGCTGTGGCTCAAATCTGGGACTCAGGTGGGCCGTGGGCAGCCTCAGCAGAAACAAGCAGCATCTTATTTATTTATTTTGAATTTTCTAATTATGTGGTACAATTTTGTATAGACTGGGATTTCCCCTCCACAAACTCCCGTCCCCCGACAGAATTTTCTCCATTTTGTCAAGCAGCGTATTAACAGCTCTAAGGAAGGCCCACTACTCCTGTCCATTTGAATAAAAGCATTTCTCTTGGCTCATGGAAGCAGAAGGTAACTGACCTGCACAGATCCAAAGGAAAGTCCCAGACAGATCTCTGGTGGACCGGCAACAGAACACTGACAGAAGTAGCGCTTTTCCATGAGGAGTAAACACCAGAAACCAACTTCTCTGCAATAGCAACTGAGCCTCCCACATGTTCATCAAACACCTACCCTTCAAATGTCACCCAACAGATACCACAGTCAACAGAACTCACAGGGTAGGAGACCCAGTGTAAAGAGCAGAGCCACTTCACAAACCCTACCCCAAATGCCACCCTCCCTCCCTGCTGTGGAAAAGTCTGCTCCACCATCCTCTTCCTCAGTCACCAGCCATCGGTCACTTAACACAGCCACTGCCCATCTTCTCTCCATGTTTGAGGAAAGGCTGGCATTTTATGTCCCCTAAAAAGACAAAAGTGCACCCCTAAACAATTTTAACAGAACACGTGTGTCTATGAGTATGTAGGGGGGAATCTCCATGTTTCTGCCAACTCCCACCCTAGTTCTTCCATTTTGCCCTTCACTCTTCGCCTGTCTCCATCACCTGTTAACAGCTTTACATCCCTTTTTCCACTGAACTACCGAAGCACTAACTCGGCTGGGCCCCCCCTCCTCACAGGCGCATGCATCCCGGCCCCAGCACCACACCTCTATGTAAGTAAAGGCTCCTGCTTCCTCTCAACTCCAGCACTATGCCTTCCACGGCCACTCACCACCAGGCACCCTGTCCCTGAAGCAGACCTTTGCTGTGTCCTTCATACAGCACTCAGCCCAGGGCCTTGTGATGCCAGCGTGCACTAACCAGTGTCACTTCTAAAGACTGCACACTGCCAAGCAGCAGGAGTCTCCTAAGTGGAACATTAGGGGAGTCTGACTAATCAACAGCAGGACAGTCTGGGAAGCAGACTGCCCTAACCCCTGCTTCTCTGAGATGAGAGGTGCAGGAAGTGGAGGAGGTGAGGGCTCAGAGCACACACCCCAGGCCATGGCCACTCTTCATCTAGCTCACTTTTCTGCAAGGCAAAAAGTAGTCTGACTTGCATAGCAGCTTCCCACCCCCAGCACTCTAGTTATGCAACATCAGATTTTAAAGAAAATCCTACTCACCAGCCATGTGAAAACAAATACTTCCACAATAGTTATCTGACTGAATACTGTCCGTTTAACTTTGTTGTCAATAACCTCTGGAACAGAAAACTATACAGACATACAGGCATTCCGCATTCAGTTAGGTAACCTCAGCTTCAAAGCCTAAGTGACGTCCTTTAGATACTAACACACACAGACACTGCAAAGTCTCCCCATGGATCTTTACTTTATTAAACACAGCTGTCTAGGGTCATGTTTACACAGATTAAAAAAAAAAGGCCAGTCAGCATCAACACTAATAAAATTTTTGATAAGCAGACTCCTATACACCCAAACTAAAAGCAGGAAGACAGTAACAAGCTTAAAAACATTTCCATATTTAAGGTTTATGTTATAAAAAGATAATCAAGCTTTTTCCCATTTTCATATGTTAGTTATTTGTATGTATTTTTAAAGACACATACTTTCTTAGTTACTTCAACAGAAAATCTTAGCTTCCTGGATTCCATCTAAGTTAATTATAAAGTATGAACAGTTCACACCCAGAACCCTTAGGTACTTCAATTATTAACAAACCAAACCACAAAGGAGAACTGGATACCCAAGATTAGATTTTAGCACTCAGTTAACAGATGGCTCAAGTTCTTGGGCACCAGCCTCCTACCTGGGTAGAGGTTCCTGGCTGTTGCGGGCATCTGGGGAGTGAACCAGTGTAGGGGAGAAGTCTGCTTCTCTGTGCCTTTCAAATAATAAGCACCTAAAAAATTCTGGTAATAAACCTGTTCTTCTGTTTCCAATTGCCAATTTTATGGCAAATAACTATTAGTACAAGTAAATAATTGTAATCACAATTCACAAACTGCTTTCATTTATGACTTATGGTCCAAATTTTTCCTCTCAACCTTTCATACGGGATCCTAGGCAAGAAGGCCTTGAAGCTAAACATAGAGAAAGCAAATGCATCTTCCCCAAGCCTAGCTGCATCTGAGATGTAAAGTATGTTTTAGTATCCTTACCGCAGCTACCACACGCCTCCCAGTCCCCAGTCAGCCGGGGCCTCCCACACTCAGTGACTCATTACCTTGGAACCTCACGACCTGCCACCACTGTGCTGAAAACGAGACATAAGCTCACAGAGTGAATCTTGCTCAATCTCACAGCACCCACAGATGCCACTGAGGGCAACATGTATAAAACATTAGAGAGCAAGATTTGTAAAATATACCACATTTTGAGTTTTAATCATTTGATCCCCCACTGTATGAAAACATTCAGCAATATATCTCTATCTCATTGGGAACTGATACATCATCCATCATGTATTAAGTAACATTTCCCTCCCAATTTTAGAGAGCAAAGTAAAAGGCAAATCTGAGAAAAAGCGTTTAGTCCAAGATGACTTGTACAGGGATCAACAAGTGACATGACCCAGAGGCATACTAGAAGCTAATCTGCATCGTTCGGTAGGCTAGTATTCCAGCAGATTCTCCTACCTTCAGATCCTTCAGGGTCTCACAAAAGAGCACTTTCAAGAAAAGTTGCATTTACTGTCATTATTCCTGTTGCGAGTGAAACTGATGGGTGAGAACAACATTAAACACTAAAGAATAATCACATAGGATGCTCTTTATTTCCTGAACTTGCTAGGAAAACAGCTATAAATTTAACACCAAAGATAAATCCCAATGTGCTAGAAAACCATGATCTAATGGAAGCAAAATGAGATACAAGGTGTGAAGAAAGGTTTCAGCAGCAGTCTCAATACAGAAAAACAACGCTTGTGTATTATCACAGAATCCTAAAAAGGAGAGACACAGCCAGTAAGCAGGGCCCGTGTGGTGACCTGGCTGGTAAAGTCACCACCTGCAATACCAGAATCCACATGGGTGCCAAATCATGTCCTGGCTTCCCCACTTCCAAACCAGCTCCCAGCTAAGGGCGTGGGAAACGCAGGGGGAGATGACCCAAGTGTTTGGACCCCTGCACCCCTGTGGGAGACCCAAGAGAAGCTCCTGGTTCCTGGTTTTGATTTGGCTCACTGCTACCTCATGCAGCTAACTGAGGCGTGAACAAGCACATGGAAGATCTCTACCTCTCCCTCTAGCCTATAACTTTCTTAAACAAAAGCTACATCTGTAAAAGTCAAATCAAAACAAAAGACAAGGGCCCAGCGCGGTGGCGCAAGTGGTTAAGGTCCTCGCCTTGCACGCCCAGGATCCCATATGGGCGCTGATTCTATCCTGGCAGCCCCGCTTCCCTTCCAGCTCCCTGCCTGTGGCCCAGGAAAGCAGTCTAGGACGGCCCAAAGCTTTGGGACCCTGCACCCGCGTGGGAGACCTGGAAGAGGCTCCTGGCTTCGGATCGGAATAGCATCGACCGTTGCGCTCACTTGGGGAGTGAATCATTGGATGGAAGATCTTCCTCTCTGTCTCTCCTCTCTATATATCCGCCTTCCCAATAAAAAAATAATAAAAATAAATAAACCACTGGCTCCTAGCTTTGGCCTGGCCTGTAGGGCCATTTGGGCAGTGAACCAGTGGATGAAAGATTCTCTCTCTCTCCCCTGCCCTCTTCCAACTCCACTTTTCAAGTAAATCTTTTTTTTTTTTTAAGATTTATTTTCAAGTAAATAAATTCTGAAAAAAAAAATTCTTCAGGCTAGCAGAGGAAAAGAATAGCTTAGAGAAAGCTACTGACATGGTCACTCCCCAGAGGTTTAATACAAGCCCCCAAGATGGCAGAGACCTCCTGGCTCTACCCTGACCAGATCCATACTGCTGGCAACCTGCTCAAACTAAAACCATCTTCAGAGTGGAATGAGATAAGGTATCAAAGGCACACTCTTTAAACCAAGTGAATTTCCTTCTATTTCACAGAAGCACAGAATAATTTTCAGTTTCTCAGTTCAAGTTCAAGCAAATCATCTCTCCGGTTCAAATCCGCAGACTCTCTGGTTCAAAGTAACAGATGAGTTGAGGGGAACTCAACCAATCTTTCACTCAATTACCAGCTACTAAGCAGCTACTAAGAACCAAGCATGCTTTCAGGGACTGGGGAACAAATATCCAACCTTTACAAGTTTACATCATAGCTGGGAGATGGATTACTAAAGTACACACAATGCAGAAGGTCAAGAACCTTGGGGAGAGCAGGAAGCAATGTAAGTGTGTAAGTGTGGCCAAACACAACTGACGGTTACACTTAAAATTTTATAGTTAGGCTAGAGCCAACCAGTCCCTATAAGTAAAGCCTGTAAAAACAATGAGTGAGATGCTGTGCAGAGCACCAGTGGGGCTCCTCTGCTCCCAATCCTGCCTCCTGCTGATATGCCTGGCGGCCTTGGGAGACCTTGGACTCAGTCTAGCCAAATGCTAGCTATTGTAGGCACTTGAACAGTCAATCAGATACACTCTGCCTTTCAAATAAAATGAAAACAAGGAAAATTTTTAAAGGACGTATTTATTATTGGAAGGACAGATTTACATACAGAAGGGGGGAGGAAGAAAGAGAGAGAATAATCATCTCCCATCTGCTGCTGGTTCACTCCCCAAATGGCCACAATGGCAGGAGCTGACTTGATCTGAAGTCAGGAGGCAGGAGCCTCTTCCAGGTCTCCCACGTGGGTGCAGGGTCCCAAGGCTTTAGGCCATCCTCCATTGCCTTCTCAGGCCACAAGCAAGGATCTGGACAGGAAGTAGATCAGCTGGAACATGAACACACTCCCATATAGGATACTGGCACTTCAAGGGGAGGATTAGCCATGGTACCAACCTGCTTAGCCTACGTGGAAGGCCATAGGCACACGGCACACTGTGCCTACAGGGGAACCCCCTGACAATGATTTCAGCTAACTGAGACCTATTCACTGGGCATACATTGAGAGTGGTGGGCTACACCCCAGTCTCTCTTTTCTGTCCTTGGATGTGCTGTGCTGGGACTTCCTTGATACGCAACTCTAAGAAGTCAAACGAGACCCACAGCCTATTTGCCAGCCACATGTGATGAATGTGACCTGAGGCACAGCTTCTAGATGTACATATCTAACATGACTTGTGACTTGGTTGGAGGGTCCAGAGATAGACACGCCTTCTAGCCAGTTGCAATGTCATTGCTGGGTAGGAGGACTGTCAGGGACGCCCTTCTGCTTTCTCCTTTCCTAGTCTATATAAATCGTTAAACAGATGTGCCTGATCTTGTGGCCTAAGAAGACCATCACCTCACACCCTCAGTGGTTTCGGGGCCTGCTGACGGGAAAAATCACATGAAAAATTCAGAAATGGGGTATTAAGTTATCAGGATAACAAGGAAACAAAACATCACAAAAAGTAAGGTAGTGTTTTTTTGTTTGGTTTTCTGGAACTGGAAAACTCAGCATTGAATTAAGTTCTAAAATGTTTGTAGACCCCAAAATACTTAAAGGGACACAAATACAATACAGAGAAAGAACACTCTGGAATCAGGTTAAAAACTAATAATTATTTTTTTAAGGCACTCTCTTTTAGCAATTGTATATACAGTATTTCCCAAGTTCATAATAGTTGATAATACTAACACTAAATCTGAATGAAAAGGTGGAGGATTAGCCTGTAGAGCAACTACACTGGTCCCAAAAAAAGGTCTGCGGATGTTTTAATCCTATTCCACCACCAGATTTCTACTCAATTCCTTCAAAGACAATTCAGTGATTCTCACAGATTCTATTGGGTAGAATTTTAAATCCTTAGAACAGATGGTTTGGTGGCTGGCATATCAGCTAAACCTCCACCTGAAAATACCTACTCCCCATGTGGGCGCTGGTTTGCACCCCAGCTGTTTTACTTCCTATCCAGCTCCCTGCATGTGGCCTGGGAAAGCAGCAGAGGACAGCTCTCGTCCCTGTGACAGGCTGAGATGCTGCTCCCAGCTCCCTCCCGGCTTTGGGTAAGCTAAGCTCTGGCTTCTAACAGCTGTTTGGAGAGTGAAAGAGTGGATGGTAGACCTCTTTCTCTTTCCTTCTCTCTCTGTAAAAATCTGCCTTTCAAACAGAAACAAAGGGGAAGTGATTCAAAAGTATCAAGTAACATAAAACCTGTTAAAACTCCTTTAAAGTCATCCAACCAGCTTATTAGATTTCTCTCAGCCTATACAACTGAATAGAGTTATAATTATAATTATTTAACTCTCTACTCCTCCAGACTTTCTCTCCTAGATAAACTTCCTAGGTGTTCATATTCTGAAGCTGGATTTGGTCCCTTGATTCACTAATGTTCCTCCATTATGCAATTCACCCTAATCTTCTGAATCCTCTCAAAATTTGGTATCCGCACTGAAGGAATCTATCTCATTCATTCTGGCAACAAGTATTATTATTATCATTAAAATTTATTCTGTATTTTAGAAGGTTTGAAAGCAAATCGAGAGGGAGAGACCAAAAGTAGCCTGAGCAATCGCTTCATCTGCCATTCACGCCCCAAATACAACGTCAGAGAAAGACAAGGCATTGTATGTGGGTGGCAGGGGCACAGCAGCTGGGCCATCTTCTATCGCCTTCCCAGGGACACTATGAGAGAGCTTTACCAGAGGTAAAGCAGCGGGGATTCAAACCAGCACTCTGATGTGGGATTCCAGTGTACAAATAACGGCTTAACCTGCCGAAGCTTAATAATGACTCTAAAAATCATGCTTTGTTTTGGTCTTGCTTCTCATTTGTATATACTTGGAAGATAGACAGAGACCTTCTATTTACTGGTTCACTCCCTAAATGCTCCGGGCAACAGCTGGGTGGCTAGACCCAAGCCAAGAGCCTAGGAGCCAGGAATTCTAGGTGAGCCTTCCTGTGGGGTGGTGGCAGGGATCCAACCACTTGAGTCACCTCCTGCAGGAAGCTGGAATTGGAAGTGGAGCTGAGATCCGAACTTAGACATGTCAATACAGGATGTGGGTCACCCAAGTCCTTGCCAAATGCTCACTCCAACTTCTGTTGTATTTAATTCTCCACTTCTCCAGATTTGGTCTTCTAGGTGTCTTCACTGTGGCGTGAGGAGGGATGGAGGAATAACAGCAAGCTACTTCATGACCCTCAGGCAGAAATGAAGCCAATGTGTTGATTGTTTCAGCCTTGGTAATGTGACAAGACTTCAGCTCAAGGGATTTTACTTCTAAAACAATCTCATCTGTGCCTATGTATGCTAAGAATGTTTAAACACACCTCAAGCAGCTCATACTGTCAACAAAAAGGTATCTGGATTATTTTAGATCCTTCTGAGAGCCATGGACCAGTATCCTGCCCCACTTCACAAGTCAGTTGGTGTCTGGTTTCCATGGTAATGAGCACCCCATGAACAGATATAATTTGCCATTTGAGGGAGAATGGATGCATGCTGTGGCTTTGTTTTTTTCTTTTTTTAAATCAGGAATGAGGTAGGAGGAAGAAAACAATTATGGCTCAGATTTATAAACATGTAAAAAGTATGTTTCTTGACTCTGAATAACAAGATTTTATATTGCTTAGTTTACAGGAAAACACGAAAGGAATAAGAAGTCCAAAGAAAAACAGACATGTCAGATTGCTTTCTACTGTACACAGCCTTACACCCGTGCAAACTCAGCATCATGATCTTCCAGAACACATCAGAAGCTTCCAATCTGGTCACAAATACATGAACAAATAGGATGAGGAAAGGTTTAAACAGATGGAGAAACAAGCCAGGTTGAAGCAGAGAGGGCACATTTCAGGAAACAGGAAAGGACAGAAGGATGGCATAGGGGCTCCTGGAGACTGATGGACACAGGAAATCAGTGGAAACAACAGGGCAGTGCTGCAATGATCAGATATCCCAGTGGCAATCTGAACTCCACCAGCAACCAAGTCAGAAGGGGAGTTTACCAGGAATTTAGGAGGTAAACCCAGACAAAGAACCACCCATCCTGC